ATGCACTCTGTATGTATTCCATACATTGCCCAAGTTTTGTAGAGTTGCATAAAAGATAATTCATTTGAGATAAAACAGAAGACATAATACACTAAAGAAGTTGCACTTATCATTTTACTACAAACATTTTCCAATTTACAAATGACACTTTACAGTTTAAAATATACTTCTGCTATTATGATTTTAGCATTTCAATCATTATGTTATTTGAATTATAAGTAATAGGTTATAAGATATTTTACATTTGTCTTTGAATCAGTGAATTAGAGAAATCGGTAGAGAATGGATTAATGGGGCAAATTGACCTCCATATTAAATCAATAGTATCTTAGTCTAAGACGAACAATATTCAGACAGGGGAGAACCCGACGAAAGAAAGAAATATATAACGAAATTCATAGTTTGAGGTATTTACGAAGAAATTATGCGATTTTCGTCCAAGATTTTTTCTTTTTGAGGACCATTTACATGTACGAAGATCCAACCTCCGAAAATGACGATTTAATTTCAGTTTGTCACCATGGAAGGTTTCTTTACTGCTATAATAGACGAGTTCCCACATACATTGAGGAAACACCGAGAGTTATTTATAGCCTTTGTCTGTCTTTTATCATATTTAGTTGGTTTATCAATGGTAACACAGGTATGTTGGAACTTTTGAGCACTTTCATTATTTGTGCTGAAATGTCGGCAGATCTATCTTCTGCATTCAGCCTTTTTTAACATTTTATAACAAGCCATAGTAGCGGGCACCGTGATTCCTTCATTATATCACGAAATCCCAGCACCGGAGAGGGTAGAAATTTGATTGGTAAAAGCGGAGGTCACCAGGTTAGGTCCAAAGATTATTATGATGAATGTTCAAGGGGCCCGTCTTGAGACCCTAACTGAAGTGGTTGTATTAAAAATAAAAGCTAATAAAAAAATAAACTAAAGTTTGGTCTAATTTTTAATCAAACTCGACACACTGAGATTTTCTGAGAAATAAATTTCGACTGAGAGAGAACAAATTTGTCTTTAAATGTTGGTACATCTGACGTTCATATGATTATGGTGGTAACATTTTAAGATTTCTATGTGTGAGCATGCTTTAACTTTTAACTATGTGTGTAATATTGCAGGGCGGAATGTATCTATTTCAAATATTTGATAACTATGCTGCTAGTGGCATCTGTTTATTGCTGTTGATATTTTTTGAGTGTATAGCAATATCATGGGGTTATGGTAAGATTCGCTGTTTTCTTCACTACCATCAATAGTAATGATAGGGTCCTTTAATATATTCCATTAAATGTAAACAAAATGAAATTTCAAAACAAGTCCCCATAATCATTATTTATTACCCAGCATTATATATTATGGGAATTATTGACACTTTCGTGCACCATTCTGACCTCAGCGCATATGTTATACAAGGACATTTCTATATTTACCTGTATCTTTGCTGGTATATAAAATTTAATTACAGGAAACAATATTTACAAATTCAAGGTAAAAGAGAAAGAGTTCAAACTGCACTAGGCCCTAACACTATAGAATGTGAAATATTTATGATTTATTTCTTTATTATACAGGCGTCAATAGGTTTTATGAAAACCTTAAAGACATGTTTGGATTTTATCCTTCAAATTTTTGGAAGATTTGTTGGGTTGTCACAACACCTGCTATATGTTTTGTAAGTTTTTATAAGCTCTCTTATGTCGTCACCTCTACCGAATTTCCGTTGGTCAACAATATTGCCCGTATCGTGATATAGACTTTTGGTCGGAATTTGACGAAACTCTAAATGCTCATGTTTATTGAAGATTTTGGATTACCTGTAGTTCGATTGTCATATTTTCAATTGACGATTGCCTTTGACTTGGCCAATCTTCACGAATAGGAAGCTATTTGAAAAAAACCCACGATTGGAAACCAATGCAACATGTATTAGATGAGTATTTTCCGTTATTTTTAGGGCGTAGCAGTGTTCAGAATAATCAGCTTCACACCCTTTCAATATGATCAATATGTTTTCCCTGTGTGGGCTCATGTATTTGGTGGTTTATTAGCCATATCTTCCATTGGTGTTATACCTTTATATATGATAGTTAAGTTCCTATCGGCACAGGGTTCCTTTTCAACGGTAAGAAAAATATTTATTGCCTTCAATGCAAATTGCTACATTTACAGTATAGTTTCATCAGAATTAAAATGAACGTTCATGCAATTGATTATGTTGACCTATTCTTAAAGGTATATCAAATTTTAAAACTTGGCCAAAATGAGTTCTTCTTCATCAGTGGACTTAACTGGGGTCAAAACTGTACGACAGAATCCCTCTATAAACCAATAAATCCTTAGAACTAAGTAATAGTCCAGTAAACTAAGTTATTTTGAAACGCGCTTAGAGGCTTTTTTCAATAGTTACATAGTTTAATGGACAAAATGTATCATAATTATAGAAATTATATTCTATATGCATTATAGTCCAACTGATGGATATATATATACACTCTTTGACTAAGTTTGAGATTTTAAAGTTTGTGTCCATTCTAAGAGGTATATATTAATCCTTTCAAAGATGGGAATACGCGAGGTGTGGGTCTGTACATGATCCTGTTTTCGTGTAAGCAAATGCCAAGAACGACGAACTGTCCTCAGTTGGCCTAAACGGTATCATTTCCGAATCCTTATCATGTACACACACTTCTTCCCTTTTATGATTTATCTATAATCCGATATCGCACCTAATCGGCTTTAGACTCAACCACCAATACGATTACTCTTATTGAACAGGTTTATTTTAAAGATGACTGGGCGTCACAAATTATTAGATAGTGTTAATGTATATAGAAATGATATTACTATATTACAGCGAATGAAGGAATTGTTTAGACCCGACTTTACCAATGAGAAGAATACTGTAGGAGACCATCCTCCACCTTACTCAGAAATACGGGAATTCACTGGACCCGACGGAGTAGCTAGACTATAAATCAGAATTTATAGAAGACCGTTAATAGAAAATCGTCAAAATTATAGTGGTGATAAATGGATAACTGGAGAATAGATATTATAATGAAGCTATAAACATAAAGATTATGGAATTGCACTTCTTGAAATAGATGGAATTGATCTGCATAATGAGTGATTTTCTTCTGAATTGAAGTTACAGAGAGTTAGAGGTAGCGCATTGTAGTGATTTTGTAAATGGACTGATCAGTTGTGAAAGCAGAGTTTTGAATTACTGGTTTCTTTGCCATTTTTCGTTTTTTTAAGGTGTCGAATTATTATCTACGTTTCTTTTTCCAGCTATTGAAACCCAAATAGTGTATAAATGGGGATCTTTTTCATCATCTTGTCAACTTTCTGTGACGAAAGTTTATGCTTGAAGGTTTATTTATATAATATACACTAGTAATTATTTATTTGTTATAACTATTAATTGATGTCTAAAGTAGTGTGTTATATTTGTAAAAAGCAATACGTCATTTTCATAACCTGTAGCAGAAATATTGATCGACATTGGTGTAAGAAGGCGATGCATCAATATAGGGGTTCCAATTGTGTCATATTATTGCATAGGAAATGTCAGTTCGCCCAACCAAAAAACATGCACCTTGGTAAGTGGACTACAATTTCTGGGTTTTGTCGATTTGCTTAAAGGTTTTGGTGTAAAAGTCATTTTTTAATACAAAACACCAATGGTGTGAAGTAATTTTATCTATCTCTTTGTACAGATCGACTTTATACCAGATTTTTGACACAAGTTGAATCTCTTTATTTATTTATTTATATATTGTTGCAATTTGTTAGTGATTTGAAAAATTTAAATCAAACCTTTTTTTACAATCTCTCATAACCTAGGTGTTGGTGTTCGTGGTTTTATCTTATATACTAGGTTTATTAGTCTTTCTATCGTATAAATTGTAGATATTGGAACTAAATTCTTTATACTAATTCATAGAAATATATCTTTAGAAATAAAAAAATCTTCACCTACATAAAGAATACTTTATTTCGTATCACGTTACGTAACTACCATCTGGTATTTTATCACTAAACATTATCTATCTGTAATGGAAACCTTTACATCCAGCCTTATTTAAATTCATAGTGTCGTGTTCTCTGTATTATAAAATCACCATATCAACATGTGTCTGCTGAAGTCTTTGAAGAGAATGTCCCACATGTCGTTAATTCAGTCACATTAAAAGCCAAAAGATCTAATACCATTACTATTCTATTGACAAGATCACATACCATTATTAGAAGGTCAAATGTCTTATCCTAATGTTAGGTTCCGGGTACGATTTAAATCATGGTCTTTTAAATCGCTGACCTATTGTGATTATCACTAGTATCTTTAGAACCCTAAACACACTAGAATCATTAGCATCATACCCTTACCATTGTAAAACCATTAGATTATATACCCTTAACACTAGAACCATTAGTTTGCATACCCTTACCATTATAAAACCATTAGTTTATATACCCTTAACACTAGAACCATTAGTTTGCATACCCTTACCATTGTAAAACCATTAGATTATATACCTTTAACACACTAGAATCATTAGTTTGCATACTCTTACCATTATAAAACCATTAGTATATATACCCTTAACACTAGAACCATTAGTTTGCATACCCTTACCATTGTAAAACAATTAGATCATATACCTTTAACACACTAGAATCATTAGTTTGCATACCCTTACTAATATAAAACCATTAGTTTGCATACCCTTACCATTGTAAAACCATTAGTTATATACCCTTAAAGATGGGTCCCCCCATTTTCATTTATGAAAATGCTAATTCTTATATGAATAGAAAGTAGAAGTGTTATAATGACTTGGAAAAATACCAGTTTGTCTCACATGTCTATAATAAATTCATAATTAGCTAAATTAGAAGAGAATTACCAGCAGAATTCCAATGAGTGACCGATCAAAAAAGGTCAAAAAGTATATTTTGTTTATCCAGACTGTACATACATGGACATATATGATTGGTTAAAACTTAAATGCAATATAAGAAAATAATGATATAATACAATACATGCTAATTCATTAGAAACATCAATTAATCAAATAGTTTGCTTAATTTGACACTAAAAAATAAATAAACCCATCTTTAACACTAGAACCATTAGTTTGCATACCCCTTACCATTGTAAAATTATTAGATTATCTACCCTTAAAACACTAGAATCATTTTTTTGCATACCCCCTTACCTGTGTAAAATCATTAGATTATCTACCCTTAAAACACTAGAATCATTTGTTTGCATACCCCCTTACCTGTGTAAAATCATTAGTTTATCTACCCTTAAAACATTAGAATCATTTGTTTGAATATACTTACTAGAAGCTTTAGTAGAACCCTTACCACACTAATATTATACAAATTATATAGCCTACCCTTAACACACTTGAATCATTAGATTACATAGCCTACTCTTACCAAAATAGAATCACTAGATTGCATACCCTTAACACTAAAATCACTAGATTGCATGTTAACCTCAAAATAATCCTGATACGTAGGCCTATAAGGTACACTCCTTCCACACTCGGATGCGCCACCACATCAACCCCTCCCTTATTCAGTTTTACATCTGAGCATTATATGCATCTACAGAACTATCCTAGAAAATTTATATTTCCTACCCTAACCACTCTACCCTTCCAAGTTAGCATCCACGTATTATTAGGCTTACCCATTCGCAAGCCCGTAGCCAGTGTTGCGTGATGGGCAATAGCTGATAGAGACTGATTTCAGTTTCAATTGAGAATTTGTTCGAATTTTGCAGGGAGGGGGGGATATAGCTCCAGGGGGCGCGAGGCAAATGGGCAGGGACAACTCTGTCTGAGGAATGATTTTGATTTGCGATCTCCGTTTAATATTCGGGTAGCCTAACGAAGAAATTATAATCTCAAAAGCGTCTGGATAACAATGTCTATATTTGTTTGAAAGGTCAAGGTTGTAAGCTCTTCTGTCTCAAAAACCATGTTTGGTGGTCCAAAATGTCGGATCGAAAAGAGGCGGAGCAGCTAAATACTTCAGAATCATCTGATCAGGGTGAATTTCTGGAAGATAATGCCCCAGGAGAGAGTGTGAACCCAATGCTCATTGCAGGTGACTCATATGAAAACTTGAACTATGAGGTTTTGGATGATTTGACCATAAACGAGACGAATGCGTTACAGTTTATAGGGGAAGATGGCCAACATAGGTCCACTCCAAATAATACTAATGAATCAAGCAATGAAATATCGACGGGTGAAGAATCGACCGAAGAACATTCTGAGGTAAGTGACTTATATATTTTTCTCAGCCTAATTAAAGTTTAAGTATTTAAAGTTGGTACATGTCAAATCAAATAGAAAGGTGTTATATATTTCAGTCTTCAAGTAAAACTAGTAAGAGTGTAGTAAGTACTAAAACTGTAGTACCATTTGATAATGAAGAAGATGATGTAAACAGTGAACAATGGAGATCTCAACCTAAGCATATCTTTATATTGAGTGAAGCTGGTAAACCTATTTATTCTAGGTCTGTAGTTTTAATTTCTAAACCTTACAAGTAACTACAAGACATAAAGCCAAAAAAAAAAAAATGTTCTGTAAGCTTACACTCAATTATTATATTTATACAGTATTATTGATTAATTAAATATATTAGTCATTACTTTTACAGACTACATGTTTTTGTTTACTTGATTTTTATATGTGACTTTCCAGTTGCCACATCCATGAATGATGTTGCTTGCAATATGAGCATTTGTATAAAATACATTCCAAACATCTATAGATTTTAAATGTAAGATACAACTCTATAAATGCATCTGTTAAGGCTGAAATAACAGCACAACATCCTGTCTTATCTGTGATGTCAATTTATACAAATCTCAAATATATTAGTTTAGAATTAGAATTAACATTATAAATATGAAAGTGAAAGGTGGAATTCAGATGGTTTAAAGTTTGACTTCTTTGGTATCCTTAAGTGACGATGAAAAAATATTAAATAAACAACAAACTCTTTTTTTTATTGTAGACATGGCAGTGAAGATAAACTAGTGACTATAATGGGTGTGATGCAAGCTTTAGTATCATTTGTAGGTGATTCTAATGATAGTTTACGTTGTATGATTGCTGGAGATCATAAATTTGTATTTTTAGTTCGTGATCATTTATTATTAGTAGGTGTAACAAACTGTATGGACTCAACACATCAACTATTGCTTCAATTAACTTATGTCTATAATCAAGTGATTAGTGTTTTAACTCATAGTACATTATGTAAGATTTTTAAGCAAAGACGTAATTATGATTTACGTAGAATGTTAAGTGGTGCTGAAAAGTTTTTTGACAATTTATTGAATTTAATGGATAGTGAACCAGGGTTTTTATTAACTGCTGTACGGTGTTTACCTTTAGATTATTCTATAAGAGAAATAATTGCTCAGAGTATTGTACAACATGCAAAAATAAAGGTAAGTTTTTGTTGTATGTAACCAATAACTAACAAGTCAAAATGGAACCAGCCCAAATGCAATAGAAATTTTGCTCTATCCAGACCCATTCACTATCTTTATCTATGTAGTGTATATACAGTTCAAATTGAGCAATAGTTTTGAATCTTATTTTTTCAATTAAACATTGCTATGCTCAGTGTGCTAAAAGATTTTACATGAAAGTGCAAACAAACCATCTTTCATGTTAGTAAGCTTAGATCTTGTAACATTTATATTTATATAATGTTCATGTGAAAATAAATACCAGTAAGCATATACAATTGATATTAAATACTTTATGTTAATTTTTAAATTTTAAGTTTCGATTTTCATTTTATTATTTCAGGATTTAGTTTTTGGGTTGATAATAACTAACAATCAATTAATAACACTAGTAAGAATAAAGAAATATTATTTACATCCAATGGATTTACATTTAATCATGAATCTAGTGAATGCATCAGAGTCTTTCAAAACAGCTGAATCATGGACTCCTTTATGTTTACCCAAATTTGACCAAAGGTATGTTTCTTTTTTTTCATTTGAATTATTAAAACGTTTACATGGTGACCATTTAAGGTCTATTTCTATTGAAAGTCAATAAGTGAATACTTGTTAAGTTAGTAAATGTTTAGATGAATTCTAATTGAGAATTAAGAGTTTGGTGCTCTTATGTAGACTGTTTTCAATTGACAAAAAAAATATTTTGATAAAAAGTCACAATAGTTTATCAATGCAACTTGTTTGCCCTTTCTGCGAATTTAGGGTGCTGATTAAAACTGTTCCTTTGAATGAGCCAAGTTTTCACTGTAAAGCTTTCTGTGAGATGTGACTAGTCCTAGCAAAAGATAAAGAATCGAAGTTTAGACTCAATTTCTTTTATATTTCAGTGGTTTTCTTCAGGCTCATATATCATATCTAGATGATTCTTGTGAAACATGTTTATTATTATTAACTGTTGATAGAGAATCCTTCTTTACTCTATCAGAATGTAAAAATAAAATCAAAGAGGTAATTTATTTGAACACCTTGAATTCCCACATAAAATCAAAGTTGTGATTCCCATTACCATTTAGGATAACGGGTGAGCTCTGAAATCTCTTCTTGCATAAAGATTAAACAGATGGTTTAAGAAGGCTCTTACTGTTCAGATATCAATTTTAATCTCTCATGTCCAAAAATTAATCTCCATTTCCTAAACTTGAAGTCCTGAAGATGATTAGAACACAAGATGATCCCTGATCAATAACATTATTTTTTTATTGCAGAGATTATTGAAATATAATGCTTTAAGAGCAATATCAGATTCCCTGAAGAGAAATGCTTATGGAATTCAACAATGTGGTATCAATGATTTAAGACATTTTTTATATAAATCTAAAAGTACAGCACAATATACAAGTCCTGAATTAGAAGCACCATATGTTACACAGGCTGAAAAAGATAGACTATTTGGTTTATATAAATATCTTCATCATCGAATTCATTCGGCAGCCCGACCATTGAAAATACTGTTTCACGTAGGAGCTTATGAAACTTTATTAGGTTGGGTAAGTAGAAAAGCATATTCATTAATTTTATAAGAAAGACTGAATAAATATCATATTTTCTGTAGGTTATTCATGGTTTGTCAATTTAAGACACTCCAATATCATTTTATTGATGTTGATATGTAAGAATAGAGTTCGGTGATATTCCCTGGCCTATAATGCTAATGCAATAAACTTTTATCTTGTACTGATGATGCAAATTTTTGTTTTGACAGGTAACAGCAGGGTTTGAATTATATGCAGTATTTGGTCCATTGGTTACGAAGACGTCTGCTATTCATGCTGTCAACAAACTATTACGGTGGATCAAGAGGGAAGAGGAGAGGTTATTTATCTTAAATTCTGTGACATTTTAAATGTGATTCATTATGTATTCCAATTATCTAAATCTGATCGTTTATTGTTTTCTTATGCAGTGTTGTGATAGATTATGTTAAAATGTATGAAGATTATGAAGCGGCCACCATCAGACACTGATGTCATCAATCCTTTGACCTGTAAGGGAGATTTTGAACTCACATTGGTTTGACACTGGGTTTGTCTGCAGTCTGTAGGGAAACAATTACATGTAGCTCTCAATTGCCTTGTGACAAACAGTTTCCAGGATATCAGTTGTATGATCATTGTGGGCAGTAGCCCATTGAAGTTCATGATAACAATATGCTTAGATATCTTTGACATACAGAATATATCATAAACATGTAACGGCTGAATTTTTTTTAGTTAAAACTTTCGGATATGTTAAAGGACATATTTCTCTACATTTTGGTGTATAGTTTTTGCAAATTCGAGGAAAAAAAAACCTACAAAGTAAAGTAGAATATCCCTTTAAGGCTAGATTATATGGATAACACACTGGTAAATAAAATGATATCTCTTACAGTTTGAATTGACAGCTTGAACATTTTCAGAAACCTCACAAATCCTTAACATTATGGTTTGCAGCAGTAGCTTATTAAGTTTCTGAAAACAAAGGTACTGCATTGATGTGTTTTAAACTGAGGAAAGATAATATATAACTTTTTTTTTAAATATCAAGGAATAAAACTTATTATGCACACCAAGTGGAATTGGGGTTTTGCACAATATAAGTTGAATTGATGAAAAACAGTGTATAAATCTTTGGGAAGGTAATTTATGTATATTAAACAAAGATTTGTGCATACACTTCATCATCAGACTTTCTCCAAAAGCTATAACTATGCTCATTTACTTTACTGAATTTTGGAGGCTTTTTACTTGAAGTATAATAAACCATTCCTTTCAAAGGTTGTCAAAATATTTGCTTTACCACCAGCCTACAACTGAATGTGAAACTATTATCAATATATAGACATTAAAGGGATTGTAAAGAGGTTTCTTAAAGTTTTTATGTGTATCGAGGATACTGATAGCATCAATTTGCACAATTCCAATTTTCATTCTAACTTCTGTGGTTCTTGCAATTCCATGTTTTATGAAGTCACTAGAGGGGGAGGTACCGGAAGCTACTATTAATATATATGCAGTTCCCCTCTAGTGATGTCATAAATTGCAAGAACACAGACGTCGAAATGAAAATTTGAATGGTGCAAATTGATGCTATCAGTATCCTCGATACACATAAAAACTTTAGGAAACCTCTTTACAATCCCTTTAATTTGACCTGGACATGAAGACAGTATTATATCTCTTGGTATCTGTTGAATTTTATGATTTTTATCATCCACGCCCCCATTGGTCACATTTCGACATGTGGGGAAAAATACATATTCATAGCTAATCAATGTCCAATCAAAATTGGCTCCTGCTGTCTTGCTAGTAAAATCTTAGCCAATCAAAACAAATCACTCGTTATGATACTTTGTTTTCGAACTTAAACAAAACTAAAGCTGTGTTTCATTAAATGTTTTAATTAATATGGATGTTACAGAATTAAATAATATTTTCGGTAAAGAATTGAAGCCAACGAAAATTCAAATCTTACTTTGGAAAATTTACTTGAGAGAATATATTCTTATCTCTTCAAACGGACGGCGGCAAAGCGATTGTGTTTTGTTTACATAACCTCATTCCCGTTCTACCGATCTGATTGGTCAGATTCAAATAGAACCAATTTCATTTCTACGCTCACAAAACGAATTGTAGTGGGCTTAGTTTAATACGGGTTAATAAAACCATGTCAAAAACTGTATTTGGGATACTATGGATTTTTATATGAAATGTACCCCAATCAGCTCTATCAGCTGGTAGTGCCAATACTAAAACCACCATCAACCTCCTTGATCTTTATGATAAATTTGATCTTTGTCTTCATTGTACTTATATATTATTAACAAGTTGTAAATATTAAATAATTATTATAAATTTTGATAAAAAGTAATGAAAAATATAGCCCATATCCTGTTAAAGTTTCCTTATACCACATTTCAGTAGTTTACCACATACTATATAAAATCGTCATCTGAAATTTTTACAACTTTGGTTAAAATGAGATTACGAAGTAGTTATAATAACCATATTGACTGTCTGAAAATGGAGTGTATTATTCTATTCCTGCTGTTGTCATAAGAAAAAAAATTTAAAATGCTTATGTCCTGATGTAAAGGATAAACTGAATATGCCATATTTCCTTGGTGTGAGGCCTCTACAATTTCAACATGATGATGCACTTTTGTACATACATACAGTGACAATAAGTAATTTGAATGTATCTCAATCAAGAAGTTATGATATAAGGATATCAAATAGAATTGAAATAAGTTAAACAAGCATATAAATTTGATATTTATATGATTATAAATGTGAATATAATTCATATTATAAGAAAACAAAATTTATCACTAACACATGTGATAAAATTTAACTTTTTAAAATGAAAAGCTGCGCTATTGAGTTCATTTATACTCTTCAACATTTTGAAGCAAATTAGGGTTAATTATCATCAACTGTATAAGCCACTAAATAGTGGACTACATCCCTTTAATATCTATCTTCTCCAAAGCCTTCTAGAAAATATACAGATAAAGAATATCACACTACATACAGTTATTAAGGCCACTAATAAACCACTGTCTTTAAAGGGCATGTTTCTCCTAATATGAAAATAATTAACCCTTACAACCTCCGGTTTTCCAACTATGATAAATGGTTCAGGTGGAAGTTCGTCTGCTGGGTTTCTCCCATGCTCTTTCAAATAACTCTCTGAATCCCTGAATCGTACTTTTGTTTGTATCACCCAAATCTGATCTATTTTAGCATTATTGGCTGCTGCTAATACCTTCCAGTGTAAATGAGTGGAATTGAATATCTCCAAAACACCAAAACACTCTTTATTTTCTGTTTTGGCTGACCATTGGCCACCAGGTCGTCTAATGGGCTCAGGGAGGTATTCCTGACCTAAAGTTCCGATAGTTATATACACAGGAGCTTTAGGATTCTTATAGTGTTGAGCCACAACTTTGTCTTTATAAACTGGCCAAGAACGTTCGTAATTATGATAATGTCCTCCAAAATAGATATCTACACCATATTTAAAGAATAACTCTTCTAATGATGTTTTTATAATAGGCGTTTCTAGAAGACAATCCTTTCTATTGTCACAAGAACTATAAAGAGCTCTGTGGCCCATAACTATTATCCATGGTCTTTTAGATCTCTTATTAACTGCTATCAAGTCTTTTTCTAACCAGGCCAACTGATCATCTTTCTTAAAAACATGAAATAACATTTCAGTATTGAGAGAAATGAAATGTGTAGGTCCAATATCAAAACTATAATACAACTCTTCAGTTTTCATTGGCCAGCTTAAGGTTGGCATAGAAAAGCGATAACGATAATGGGTAAAGTCATATTTAGCTTCATGATCACCAGGTGAAACTAAATAGGGAAGTTTAGCAGTCATTAGTTGTATGTTATTGAGAAATTTATCCCCAGTGCTGCCTTTACCAGTATGTAAATCATAGGCAATATCACCAATATGAAACACTGATGTATATTCATTATTCTTTGCCTCATGAACAATATTTTGAAGATTGTGAGTGTAAGGTCCCATATCCGCTAGCACCATATAGGACTGAAAATGGTCAAATCCAGTTGATGGAACATTAAACTGCAACAGGTCACTACTAACCCCATTTTGTTTGCTTATTATTTTGTAATAATATACAGTGGCTGGTTTTAAGCCTTTTAAATAGGCACGGTACAAGAATTTTACTCCCTTTTCATTATTAATTTTAAGCTCTTCTTGGTCTGCTACAACTATATTAAAATCATTTATCTTAGTATTAAAACTGTATTGAACTGACATTTTAGGCCCCTTTGCCACTGTTGCCCACATGATGATGACATCAGTTGGAATTTTGCCATAGCATATATGAATTTGTTGAGGAGTAAAAGAATTACTGACAGAGGACATGTACATTTTGTTATGAGATTTAGTTTTCCGGGGCTCATAACGTGCTCTTTTAAACTTATGATGATAGCTTTTCACTTCTTTACAGGCTAACAAAAACACCATCAAAATATGAAGAGTTCCAACACCAGGTTGCATCTTGATATCACTATTTAGTCCACCACAGTTTTTTAATAGCTCTTATGGTATCATTTTCAAATTACAAATCCTCATCAGAATTATTTCTCATCTTTCTCTCCCATGACACATTGGTTGATACACTAATTCTCTTCCATCATATAAATAGTTGGCAATATCATGTTACATTCATACTTTAACACATTCTGAAATATAAAAAAAATACTTAGGGGCCATAGTTTGCCATTTTTCTAACAATTGCATGTGTTTTTCAAGATTCCATATTTAATATTTTTCTGCTTTTTAAGGTTCATCTTTGGGTGATAATAAACAATTCTACCAGGTTTCTTAAAAACCTGATAAGAATTATCTAGATGGTTTACAAGCTCAAAATTGAATGCATTTTCAAGAACATTAACTCATTAATCATTTTTTGATTTTTCTGATTTTCAATATGGTCTATCCTCGGGTGATTGCAAACACTCAAACCAAGTTTCATCAAAATCCATCAAGAAATCAGCTCTGTTTCGTGTCCACACAATTGGACAAGAACGACAGACAGGGTCGACGACAATATACGGTCACTATGTGTGCGTCTATAACTCACATATTTCCTTCAAATATACCTCAAACTAGGAATTTAACTTTCTATTCTATATAATTATGTCTTTTCATATATGGCAGTCTTAAGAAATGACAATTCTAGACACATGGATATGAAGGCTAAAATTTCAACAGTGATAATTAAAGTTTTAATGCTACTGGTGCTCCATTACTCTACCCTATTGTACTAGTTTTATTTGCTGATGTTCATCACATTTCCACTACCACCCACCATTTTTTTTTATTATGAACAAATTAAATTAAGGCTTATTCAACAAAGGTAATTCATCAATTCACATATTATGTTAATAGACTTATACTAATATATTCTGATCAGTTAGAGATTAAGGAAACAACAGTTTTGACTGACAATGATTCTAGAACATGACAGTTGCCATAATCTACCTCAAAAACAAAATGGCAATAAGAGATCATTTCAATTTGTTAATTTCCCTTTCGGTAGGAGCAAAAATCCAGTTGCCAGTCTCAATTGTTTCAATTGTATGCCTGAGCATACGTTCTTTCACATGCGTAAGCCTATTTTTCTGCTGGATATTGAAAGTAAAGTTCTATCCTAGAATTAGAAAGTCTGAAAAAGATGATGGTTGAAGTAAAAGTATCATTGACAACTGCAATAAATAGGTATCTTACACAATATCAGAGTTTATTATTATTATATATTTATTGTATAAGAAATATTAAAACAGAACCTAAAAACACATGTTGCTGCTCAGAGTTTCACGCTATGCGATCTTCAGACAACGGACCTATTTCAGCTGTTTACAGTGGTTTTCCCCCTTTACAAGTTCCTCAAGGCCCGAAGTCGACACAATTAGTCAAAATCGTCAAGTCATATTTTATTCACCAGTTGTCATCGCGATTCTATTCTTTCAACCAGTTGAAAAACCTTATGTAAGTAATTGTACATTAAAACATGGTGCTCACTACTTGATTTTTTTTTTTTTTAGCTTAGCTTTCTAAACAGAAGGTGTTCTTTACTGATTTTGAATCAACAATCAAGCTTTTATCATGCATGGAATATGTATTATGAGCCATTTTGCATCATAAATTAAATGCATATCTTTGATATTTCCTTTATTGAACAGTTAGTAGAATACATTCAATTCAAGTATGTTTTGCATAATATATGTAATATACAGAAAATTATATAGTTAATAACTAAATAACACTTTAATCTATTTGCATTGCAGTTGATTTCAAATTTTTTCAACTAGTTGCAAAAGTCAATCACTATCTACTAAAGTCAGTCACAATTTCAGACTAACTTCGGGGTTCAAGTTCCTTCTCCTAGAGGTTTTCCACTTTAACAATTTCCATAAAGTTATTTATATATAAGCTTAGGTTATGTAAGGAAGAATAGTCTGATTTAATAACATACAGTGGTGTAACCTATTTTCATGCATATAAGGATTCAAAGTTAAAAAGAAGGAATTTTTTTTGTCTTAGATGTTTCCTCAGATATTCCATAAAATAATCAAAATTGGTTCTTTCGATTTTCTTTATGAATCCCTCAACTTGACCCATATTTCATGAGTAACCAACTCGACAACAGCGGCACAAGGCATCACCTATTTTCGTGTACAATGTTTGATCTATAAATAAGTCAAGAAAAACACTGTGTATGGATACCGGGTGGTATAATTAACTTCTCTTAGTATTTATCTGTAATATCAATTCATTATAACTAGTGACAATTCCTTCACAGAACCAAGATTTAAAAAATAATAGTGACTGACAAAATAAGATACGTAGCTTGATTTATTGCTAAAATTCATTGCAACAACATAAAAGAATATGGCCCACATTGTGTTCCATAGATTTTTTCTGCTGATACGAGGAGCTTTTGTAGGCCGATTCGATTAGGTAGTACAATTTGGTGCAATTTTAGATTAGCAGTGGTCCACAAATGCGAAATTCAAATTGTTGATTAGACAATATTATTATCATTATTATTATTATTATTATTATTAAGACACTTATAGAGCGCCATCTTTCACAATATGTGCTCAGATGCGCTGTACAATACAATTCATAAAATATCAAGGAATAAAACAATCTATAAATTAAAAGCTTTCTTAAATAAGAACATCTTGAGAAGAGACTTAAAAGTTACTAAAGAAGTGCAGCATCTAATGTTAAAAGGTAAAACATTCCAAAGTTTAGGGGCCTGGACGGTAAAAGAGCGCTCACCGATAGTTAAAAGTATGACTGATTTATGTACAAGCAAAAAGTTATCAGAAGATGAGCGGAGAGTGCGGCTTGGTGTATACATTTCTAATAGTGAAGATAAATAGTGAGGTGCAATATCGTTTATACATTTAAAAGTTAAACGGAGGATCTTGAATTGGATTCTAAAAATAATAGGTAGCCAGTGAAGGTCGATTAAAATTGGTGTAATGTGGTCGTGATATTTTTTGCCAGTGATGAGTCGTGCTGCTGCATTTTGAACTTTCTGTAGCTTGTTGGTTATGCGCAGAGGGGTACTGATTAATAATGAATTACAGTTGTCTAAACGGGAGGTGATCAATGCTTGTACTAGAGTTTTAACAGAGGAAGAGGGAATATTTTTACGGATTTTACTAATGTTACGGAGATTAAAATAGCACAATTTACACACATTATTTACATGAGGTTCCAAGGTTAAATGCTGATCGAAAATAACTCCAATATTTCTAGCTGACGTGACAGGGGATATTACATGACTTCCTATTGATAAAGATACATTTTCATTAACTTTTGATAAAAGAAATATGGCTGCCTCGGCTGACAACCAATGAAAGAACGCTATTTTGATTACATTAGCAACTTTCACATGCCGCCATCTTGGAAAAGCCCAATCGAAACACCTAACCACCTCCTGGGACGATTAGGATTATTAGCCAAATCAGTTTAGGTAAACTGGCTCACAAATGTACCGATTAGCCTAATCTTCCTGGCTCACAAATGCACAAAATAGCTAATCTACCTAATCGAATCGGCCCACAAAAACGCCTATGGAATCCGCTAGTTGATCACGTGACTTCATTCTTTCCATTATATTCTAGCAGACGACACTTGGAATTCCGATTAAAGCTAGGGATTTATTATTCGGCCGATAAAAAATGGTGACGTTTGGTAATAACTGAAATCCACCATTCAAGGGATACATTAATACATTTTACCTTGCTTGAAACTACTGGATTCATTCTACTACTGATATTGTAGACATAACCCATGTTTATCAAAACAAGCAAATGCGGAGGTCACACAAAAATAGGTTAGCACTCAATTAGGTTACTTGATTGTATCTTATTTCATTTTAGAAGTACAGTCAAGTAACCTAATTTTGTGGTAACCTATTTTTCGTGAATTTCCGGAAATGATTAATAATTTACATGTGCGACCCCGCATGATCTCTGCATTTACTTGTTTTGATAAACATGAGTTATCTGTACAATATCAGTAGTAGAATGAATCCAATAGTTTCAAGCAAGGTAAAATGTATTAATGTATACTTTGACAAATACAAAATGGCGGATTTCACTTATTACCAAACGTCACCATTTTTTATCGGCCGAATTTCTTTATAATCCCAAGCAGTAATGCCAAGTGTCGTCTGCTAGAATGTAGTCCAACGAATGAAGTCACGTGATCAACTAGCGGATTCTGTGTCAGCAGAAAATTTCTATGGAACACATGTGGGCCATATTCTTATGTTGTTTCAGTGACTTTTAGCAATAAATCTCGCTACGTATCTTATTTTGTCAGTCACTATTTTTTTTTAATCGTGGCTCTTTGAAGGAATTGTCACTAGTTATAATGAATTGATATTAAAGATAAATACTAAGAGAAGTTAATTATACCACCCGGTATCCATACATGTTTTTCTCGACTTATTTATAGATCAAACATTGTACACGAAAATAGGTGATGCATTCTGCAGCCGTTGCCGAGTTGGTTGCTCATGAAATATGGGTCAAAGTGAAGGATTCATAAAGAAAATCGAAACAAACCAATTTCTATTATTTTGCAGAATATCCGAGGAAACATCTAAGACATAAAAAAAAAAATCGTTTTTTTTAACTTTGATGAAATTTGGTGATGAATCCTTATATCCATGAAAATAGGTCACACCACTGTACTTGTAAAGGGAGGAAACTACTACATGCCATTTCAGCCTGCATTGCCTGAAGTTAGAATAGCGTGGAACTGAGAAGCAAAAATTAAATCTTATTCAATATTGTACTTGTACTGTAGGCTACATTGTTATTATAAAAATAACTGACAGCAAAAAGTGTTGTGAGAAATCCTTGACACGTGTACGTATGTCAACATGTCCTCAATTCAAATAATGGAATAATGGTGATACAAGGCTAACATGGGAATACACCACTTGTGACAGTGTAGTAAACCAAAACAAGTACAGGAAATAAAAATAATTACACTGACTGGGCGCAGCCATGATGCTGTTCAGCAGATAATGTATAAATCAAAATATTGGTAAAATTTTATGAGGCGATTAGGCCTATTCATAATCACTGAGGTGAGTTGAATATGTCAATATCATTTAGTAAATGATTAATTCTCGACAAGATTATACAGACACTAAGAAATATTAATTTACTCCGTAGCTAATGTTTACCCCGGAAGTGGAAATAAAAATATTTTATTTGGAAAGCCGTAAAAAACTAAATAGCCTAGACTTTTTTCTATGAAACTTGAAGTACATTACAGATGTACAACACCGCGGTTCGGGCTATCAATCAATTAGATGTCATTATAAGGAGAGTAATTTCATTCATTCCAGAGTCATTCTGGGAAAACGTTGACACTTTTAGAAGGACGGTTGTAAATTCTGACATTCAACTTCAAATTTTGCTAGTTCTGATTATTTGGCTTTTCATCAACATTTCCCTTATTTTGATGTTCTGGAAGAAATATGAAAGTATTTTAAGTGATAAAGTTGGTTCAACAGGTGGGTAGTTATGATATTGGCTGGTTGAATTGAAACTATAATTTATAATATTAATAGGTGATGTTAGCTCTGACTTAATAAAGTGATACAGTGGTGTAACCTATTTTCATGGATATAAGGATTCAACACCGAATTTCGTCAAAGTTAAAAAAAACGAAAACAAATTTTTATGTCTTAGATGTTTCCTCAGATATTCTACAAAATGATTCAAATTGGTTTATTTCGATTTTCTTTATGAATCCTTCACTTTGACCCATATTTCATGAGCAACCAACTCGGCAATGGCGGCAGAATGCGTCACCTATTTTCATGTACAATGTTTGATCTACAAATAAGTCTAGAAATACACGTATGGATGTCGGGTGGTATAATTAACTTCTCTTAGTATTTATCTTTAATATCAATTCATTATAACTAGTGACAATTCCTTCAAAGAACCTTGATTTTAAAAAAAAATAGTGACTGTCAAAATAAGATACGTAGCGTGATTTATTGCTAAAAGTCACTGAAACAACATAAGAATATGGTCCACTTTGTGTTCCATAGAAATTTTCTGCTGACACAGAATCTGCTAGTTGACCACGTGACTTCATTCGTTGGAATATATACTAGCAGACAACACTTGGAATTCCTATTACCGCTTGGGATTATAAGGAAATGCAGCCGATAAAAAATGGTGACGTTTGGTAATAAGTTAAATCCGCCATTTTGTATTTGTCAAAGTATACATTAATGCATTTTACCTTGCTTGAAACTACTGGATTCATTCTACTAGCTGATATTGTAGAGAAAACCCATGTTTATCAAAACAAACTGATGCAGAGGTCGCGCAAGGTCGCTCATGTAAATTATTAATCCTTTCCGGAAATCCATGTATAATAGGTTTCCACGAAATTAAGTTACTTGACTGTACTAGTCATAGAGTTAGAATGAACATAAAATTTAACTGTCAATATGAGTATATATATTCATCAGTGAACTTACCTGGTGTCATAAAGTTATAACAGAATCCCTGTAAAACCTAGAAAAATTGGAAAATTCATAAAACTAAGTAATATTAAAAACGCTTAATCTGAATATTAAGTTTTTTTTTATTTATTGGTTATATAAGGATCCTGTTATATTATTTATGACACCAGGTATATCTACTGATGAATATATAATGCTCTTATTGGCCAAGTTTAAAATTTTTGAATTTTATGTTTATTCTAAGAGGTAGTATCCCATTAATATTATTTAGCCAGTTTTAGTGTCTGAGTCAAATTAGTGATGACGTTACAAATCGCAAAGGCCTTTATATGATAAAAGCATGTTTTCCATTAGTCATCAAACACTTAGTTTAGCATGCTTTTCATTTTGTATTGCAAGGTTTCTTAATTAAATTATTTCCATTATTGATCAAATGATTAAACATGTTTGAACTTTAGACATCTCAGTGCCTTCCATATGTAGAAAAAATGATTTTTCTTGAAGAATATTTCTCTTATAAGCTTTTAATGTTTTGGATGTTAGCTTATATGTTGAAAATATTATTATGTATGTACAGGTATAAAAGCTACCGTAATAATCTTTTCAATATATTTCCCATGTTTGTTATATCTCATTATTTATCACCTGTATGATCTAACCAGGTGAAACAACACAATTTGTAGTATGGCTTGGAATTACTACTAACAACAGTATCTTGAAAATAAATCTTCAAATTCAATTGTCTCAAAAGCAGTTCAAATAAGAAAAATCCACTAAGGCCACATAAAAAATAACAATTGGTGATCGTCCCTGCCCGTCCCCGAAAAGGTATAGCAAAAAGTCAACTTTTCGCAGATATTTAACGCGGAATAACTGAAACATAATAGGTAATACCACCAGTAGGTCCATCTAGCGACCATAGAAGGAACTACAACTATCCTCAGTGTGACAACTGCTCGGGGAAAAAGGCTGTACTAAGACATGGGGTGAAAAAGACAAAACAATGAGCTGTTATTGGTTGTATAGGCCTAACACATGGCAGGTTTTTGTGCCTTTTCAAATGGAACAGCTCTCAGAAGTTTGTATGTTGACAAACAAAACATGATATCATGCAAAAGCTTCAGTGTAAAAGTAGAACTCTTCTCAAACACAAATATTTGCTTGACACTTCTTTTAGAACAGTTTGTTTTGAAATTTTGAGTGTAAAAATATGTTTTACATTCATAAAGGCATTTTCAGAGCCACCTTTCAATAGTATGCACCTAGGGAGGAAAATGATTGGACAAGAAGGTACTGAATTTTAAGAGTTTCAAGCAATTTTACTAATTTAAAAAAAAAAAAAATGTATGCAGTCTGTGGAATATATTTTGTTTAATTTATTGTTTGCATGTTTCTGGTGAGGAATAAAGTAATATCAGCATGTGGGCGAATTTTTTTTTTTTTGATCTGGCCTTAACGGCAATATGGAAAAAAAATCATGTCAGAACAGAGATTGATATGTAATAGAAGCCACATTGTTTATCATAAATTTGTGCTTCAGCTGCAGATCACTCATCCAAAAATCCAACTGGATGCTCACATTAAAAAAGAACTGTGCTTGGAACAAAAGCAGTTTTTTTTTGTCAGAATGCTTATTAAGGTATTTGCAAATAGCCACATTTGCAGATATTTTTCATAGAAAGTTATCAATCTATGTTATAATTCTTATTCTCAAACTTCTTTGCTTATTTTAGTAGCAGTTAAGTACATATTTGATTTCTTCTAGGGAAACAGAAATTATCTACAAAATCATTTCATAGTGCAGAAAATCTACACTTTAAGGAAGAATAAAGACTAATGGCAGCGATAAAAAGATTTTTTGAAAAGAAAAAACTTGATGTCAAATTCAAGAAAGCAGGAGAAGGTCACAGCCTAAATGAGACATCAGCACGAAAGCCAGTTTCAAAATCAACTGGATTGTCAAATCCACGACGTACTGGCCCAGCAGAAACTGGTCAAAGAGCAGCTGAAGCAGCATTATCTCGCTTACAGTCTACTCACGATCAAGGTATATATTGAAAACAGACCAGTTAGCTTTGTTAAACACTGTAATAGATAAAAAGAAATAAGGTTAGCTTAAGGACTTGTAATGCCAACTATGGTGAGGCTGCCGACTTATGAACATAGAGAGATGTGGGCATAGTAAAAAGAATGCTTTCCTTTAATGTGAAACAGGTTTTTTTTCCCTTATCCGTTGCTTTAGCTTCCTTTTCAATATTTTTGGCATTATTAGAACTTTTATGTTTTACAGGCAGTACATCAGTTGCAATGAAAGCTCGAATGAGAAGGGAGATAGAAGCAGAAAAGAAGGCATTGGCTGAAGCTGAGGCCAAAGGAGCAGCTGCAAGGGCTCCTCTGACAGAAATTATTCAAGACAGTGCTCCAGTGTTGTCAACTATATTTTATAAATGTCCTGAGATTGGAGAAGCTGTATTGAGTAAGTGTGAAATGGATGAGTATATCCATGAATTCCTATTAACAAATCTTGCAGAGGAACCAGAGATGACCTCAGCTTTGATGATTCAAACATTAAATAAAGATCGTGAAAAAGTTGGGAAATGTGTAGAAACCTTAACAAAGTATATTGATAATGTGATTAATAACCCAGATGATCATAAGTATAGGAAAATTCGAGTCAATAATAAAGCTTTTCAAGATCGGGTGGCCTGCTTGAAAGGAACAGAAGAATTTCTTCAAGCTGTCAGGTTTGAAATGAAGTTATTACCACATGAAGATAATGAAGAATATTTCTATGTATTGGAAGATGAAGCTGCAATGGATATTGAAAGATTAAAAGGGATAAAGGAAGTCTTGACTATGGCAAAACCCATTAAACCTCAACTTGACAGATCACTCAAAGTTTTCCATCCTTCATCTGGTGCCTCAAAATTTTACATTCCTGATGAGTTTTATGCTATTTCTCCCGAAGAAATTAAAAAAGAACAACAATGTCGTACTGAAGCTGTAGAGAAATTAGGGATGCTAAGAACGAAGGCAATGAGAGAACGGGATGAACAGAGAGAGCTACGGAAATATAGATTCACTCTGTTGAGAATACGATTACCAGAAGGTATCATTCTTCAAGGAACTTTCAGAGCAATGGAAAAACTGAAAACATTATATGATTATGTTCGTGAAAATTTAATAAATGACTGGATGCCATTCCAACTGATATCATCCTCGGGTGAAAAATTGATTGATGAGGATTTAACTTTAGCTGAACTTGGGCTTGTACCTGCAACTGTTGTCAACTTTGCTTGGGATTTGACAGTAGCAGCTGAGGTAGCAGCCCAACAAGGGTCCTCAGCTACCACTAATTGTTTAAAGCCAGAAATAGCTGCTCTTATTCAAGATCTCTAATTTTTATGTGGACGTATATTGTCGGCACATCCGTCCGTCAACATTTGCTTGTAAACTTGAGCTATTTTCGACCGTTAGAAGCAGAGTTATTGGCCTTGCCCCAAAATCTTGAATATGCTATTAATCTCTTAGTTTTCAACCGATTTTGATGAAACTTAAAATGAATGTTACTGGACCTAAATCGAAAGGTTTGAGAAAGTTTAGTTTACTTCTGATTAAATTTAAGGTTTTTTCAAGATTTAGGCCTCTTACGTCAGTTTGCTTGTAAACGCCCTAAAAACTGCAGTTTTTGATGGAATCAAATGAAATTCGGTATGTGTAGACATATTCTTAAAACGAAGATCAATTTCGAATTTGAGCTATTTTCGACCGTAAGAAGTAGAGTTATTGCCCTTGCCCCAAAATCTGTAATATTTACCATCCGCATGCCGCGGTGGGCGTATATGGCTGTGATCCACTATCTTATTATTTAACAGCGCTATTATTAAATTCATGCAGGCCAATTATGAGTTAATTTTTCAACTTTATCTTACAGACATTTACTTATAGATATCAATCTTGATGTGCATCAATTGTTTGTCAAATATATTGTCATGTATCTTGAATTGATAAAGGAAGAACCAAATTTTTTTGCATATCCTTAATTTTTAGTTTTTGGTGGTAAGACTTGTCAAGTTGAAAATTGTATTTAAATTGAACTATAATCAGTTGTTAATTAGCTACAATTTTAGTTAAGTTTATATATGCCAAAATCTCTTTATGTGGACCATCGTGTCCAAACCACACCCCCATTTGTCATACTTCCTCGGGGCTGTGGTATTACAAGTGAGAAATATTATGTATTCAGAGCTAAATATTGTCCAATCAAAATTGAGTAAGATTTTCGTTAAAGAATCGAAGCGGAGAGAAAATCAAACATTACTTTGGAATATTTACTTGGAAAGAATATGTTCTTATCTCTTCAAACGGACGGCAAAGCGATGTTGTGTTTTGTTTACATTTCTGTTCTACCGATCTGATTGGTCAGCTTTAAATGCCATCAATCTCATTTCCACGCCCCAAAAACAAAGTGTTGTGGGCTCTAGGTAGAATCTACCTTTCACCTAATATTGATAAAACCTGGTATGTATATACTTAAACATAAAAGGATCATTAAGATTAGATTGGTAATTACAGCCTCTATTGCGTCTGTAACCAAAATTTTGCATGTTTTTACTTAGTCATGGACAGAAACTAAAAAAAAGTTCATCCAATAATTGTCAAATATGAAGTTTAGGCAATCTCATTAATATGTACATGCATACCAAGTTTCATTAAATCCAGATGAAAATGGCACCGTCTGGTGTGTACACAAGAAATGTTGGCAGTAGGAGTAAAGGATAGGGCAACAGCTATTGTGTACCTACTTCTAGGTAGGCATCTTAAAATTAAAGATCAATCTGTGGCAGTTATATCTTAAAACAGAGCTAACCTCCAATGTTAAGAATCTGGACTCCACATGAAAGGGGGGGGTGTATATTGCCGTCGCCAATGTCTGTCGGTCTGTCCACAATTGCTCGTAAAAACTCTACAATACACAATTCTTGACGGATTTTGACAAAACTTGGTATGAGTGTTCGTAATCACCCAAGGATGAACCTGAAGAATCGAAAAATAGCATAAGTTATTGCCCTTGTTCTTGAAAACGCACACAATTTTTAGCTTGTAAACACTCTAGAAGAGATAATTCTTGACGGATTTTGACGAAACTTGGCATGAGTGTTTTTTATCACCCAAGGATAAACCCTATTGAAAATCAGAAGAATTGAAAAAGATTTAGTATGAGCTATTGCCCTTGCAATTTTTAGCTCGTAATCACTCTAGAAGGCACAATTCTTGAGGGATTTTGATGAAACTTGGTTTGAATGTTCGTAATCACCCAAGGATGAACTATTGATAATCAGAAAAATTGAAAAATATATAGTATGAATTATTGCCCTTGTTCTTGAAAATGCTTTCAAATTTAGCTCTTAAACACTAAAAGGCATGATTCTTGCTGGATTTTGACAAAACTTGATTATATTATTCAGTCCCGCAATGAAGATTGAATATTTGCCTGTCTAAAGTTTTCACGAGCTAAAAATTGAACAAGTTTTAAAGAACAAGGGCAATAACTCATTCTCAATATTATTCAGTATTGCCCTAAAGAGTTCAGAAGAAATGTACGACTGAAGGTTGAATATTTCATACTGGTGATTGTTACTGTACTGCTAAATATTTTTATTCAAAAATCAAAGCTGCCAGTGGGCGTATATTACCTTGCCTGGCAAGCTATCTTCATGTTAGTAGGTGAAAGTTTCTTGTTTAACTGCATACAGTAATGGACTTATTTAGTAAGACCCTGCGTTTTTTTCTTGTATATTGTGATCATGGTTTTATTTATGTTATGGTTTGTTAGTCAGCCTGTTAACAATCTGTATTGAGTATATATAGTCATTGTAATATTTATATTTGAATGTTATGTTAGAGAATAATTTGGTTATTGACATGCTTTGTTAATTTATTATCAATAGATATATTCAATTGATATTCCAGCTTAACCATAGATGCAGGATAAATTAAAGTTACATTTGTTAAATCCTGTTAGCAATTCTGAAATTTAATTGCTGAAATTGAAAGAACTAGAATTAATAATTGAAAATATAATTGTATAAAACAGAAACGCAATCATGTAGGTGTTAAATATTTCCTATAGTTATTTTAAGCTGTTCTTATTTGTGAATTAAAATCTCTTCTCTTGCAACTTAAAGGTCAGTCTAATTTTTCTAGAAGGTTTGGAAATTTAGGCAAATCAATCAAGAGAAATGCCCCCCCCCCCCCCCCCCTAAACTTATCTGAAAAATTTCACAAGTAGTTAGAAAACTAATGCACAGATTTAAACCAAGAGTATAATTTACAACATTTTTAATGATGAAAATGTTGCATACTGCCCTTTAACAAGTATGTATTGTACCACATTTTTGTGTTTTCACTTCTTGATCATTAAAATTTTCATAAGCAGATAGTGTAGCAAGCATTTACCCAATTTGAAGCCCAGCTAAGTGAATGAATCAAATTTTCGTTTTATTTATTCATCAACAATTCAACAAATAATTCATAACAAATTCAACAATACATCATAATTAAATATTTATACACCTATTCTTATCACTAAAAGGTGAATTTATAATCCGCACTTAAAATATTCACATATTTGGAATTTGTGAGAATAATATTAAAATGGTTCTATTGGAGTTGGAATGGACTGAGGTACCAATTACTAAAACAATACAAATGTAAAATATCCATTCATACCTGCACACTGAATTGGTCATTTACAGATTTAGGTCTTACCAATAATATTTGTATGTCCATGACATTTGTACCAGTTAGCCCTGTTTTCACTGAATAACGACCATCATTGAAAGCTGAGAATATATGATAAGAGTCATTGTTATCTAGATATGATTTGACTTGCAAGCCCTGTTTTTGACAGTCTTTATAAAAATTTTGATTTATCACTGCACCTGCTAAATCAGTAGGACCATCTTGTCCATCTGTTCCAGCACTAAGAAACTCTATATCACAGTCACACTGCTCATCATGAAGTATGTCATTTAAAACTAACCCAGCAGACACAACCATTTCCTGATTTCTACCTCCCTTACCAGTGCCTTTAATTTCAACTGTTGTTTCCCCACCTGTTACTATACAGATGCCACTTTGACTATTAATTGCCATTTCAATCATCACTGTTAAATTGTTTAAATTACATTTAGAAATTCCCATTTCAATTATATTAAATTCTAATGCAGTTAATACTGAATTGTATTGGGGATCTTGACTTTTGGTAAACAACATACAACAATATTTAGCCAAATGAGCAAATAAATTACCCATTATTCGTGCTTCCCCTTCCAATGACGAAGACAATATAAAAGGAACAAAGCCAAGTTTTGCTGCTTTTTCCGAGGCTGATGTAGTAGCTATAGAATTACTACCAACAATTACATTTTGCACTTTGGACCAATCACAGGAATTGTTGTGATCCTTATTTTGATTCTGGAATTTCAGGAAATCTTTAACATTTTTTGGAACTTGCTCTGATATTTCAAACTTTTGAAGTAAATCAAGACATTGTTGAGATGTTGAGGAATCAGGCACTGTGGGTCCACTAGCAATATCTGATAAAGGATCACTGATGACATCAGATAGTATAAGTGATATCACCTGTAATATATAATATTTAAAGGCACGATCTAAAATGGAGAATCTGCTTAATCCACATCATAAAAAGAAATAAGTTTGATCAACTGATAAAGTTTGTACATGTGATTTATCAACTAAACCATTATTGTCTGAGATGAAAAAGAAAAACCAGTTGCAAAATTTCTTGGAATTGATCTTTCCCAGATTTTTTGGAACAATTTACAGCTTGGATGACTGGAATAATGAGAAATATATAATCATGATCATAACTAAACAAAATATACCTGAGCAGGTTGTGCTAACACTGCCAAACCACCACCTTTCATAGATTCTATATTTTTTCTTATCATATTTAATTGTTGTATGGTAGCAGCTTTTTTAGCAAGGAGTTTAACCACAGACATTTCTTCTTGTAATGTTATAGGTGAATATGGAGAGGGTAATAAGGAAGATCCTCCACCTAAGAAGAAATAACCATTATCAAAATTCTCAGGCATTTAATTTATAACAGTGCTAATCTCTTAATATTTTTTTGTAACAAAATTTCTGTCCAAACTACAAAGATATCTTGCCAGACATTTTCCCAAATAGTATTTTTTTTTTAAGGATTTTGTGAAAGCAAGTGAACCTATTTTCAATTTCAATTAACATCAGTTATCATGTCTGTTTCAAAAGAATATGACAATGAAAAAACAATACCTGATATCAATACTAATAATATATCATCAATTGTTAAAGATTTGACTAGATTGTGTATATTCATAGCAGCTTTGTGTGAATTATTATCAGGTAAATTATTCTCTGCTCCTTCATACACTTCTATTCTACTATCTTTACTTAATAACATATCACTGTAAATATCAAAAACATAAAAAACATATAGCAATCTATTATTTGAAAAATAATTAATGACGGCTGAAATTAATTTCTATCAGATTAGGAAAAGATATTTTATACCTTTCAAGGTAATGCAAAACATAATTTAATATACATGTATGTAGCAGAACTTGCTTGTTAATAATCTGAAGTTATCAAGATTCAAATTTCAAGGGGATATGACTGTCTGAACATTTACCAGCTAATAGAGTTCATTTACTGCTGCCAAAATTCCTTTTCAGAAATTAAATGAACTATTGATGTAAATGAAAGTTTTCTGAAATTATGTTCAATCATCAGCTATTCAGTTTGAAAAGTGATACTGACAGCTGAGATTGAGCTCTGTTGGTTTGTGAGTCTGTCTTATGAATTGTATATTTTGAATATTCAGACCTTTTTCCTGATTGCTGTAACATTTCTACACTGCCCAATGGAACACTAACAATACCACTTTTAATCTCATGCTTTAAAATATCTTCTACTGTCCTTGCCATTCCTAAAACAGCTTTACCAAATCCCACCACATATACATTGTTTTTCAAGGAATATTCTCTGTTTTCAATGTGTAAAATTTTATTTTCATTTTCATATTTTACTTTATTAATGATCATTTCTCCTGGTAAAACAGAAGAAACTGCAGAACTAAATATTTCTCTTGCAAAATCTTGTCCAGCCATTTCTTTGTTGCTGGTTTCAGTACTAAAACTACTTTTGAAATTTTGAAACAACTTATTTTTAGGAGCTTTGAACCATCTATCATTTGAGTACAGCTTTATCCAACGTAAACATCTATAAATGAAAGTAATAAAGAGCTTTGATTTTACATTTGACATAGACACACTTCTCTCCCAGAAAGTTCTAGTGTAAATTACATACTTTTCTGACTGAAAATTCCTCTCTGTAAAATCATGTTTACAAATAATTACTTTTCCAGTGGTTAACATTTTCATCAACCCAGAGGAAATGTGATACTCTTAGTAGTATTTTGTAATGAATATATTCTAATTCAAATTTGACACGTTTTTCTAAGTCAAAGGCAATAACTCTGAAACTCATCTGATTATTACCCATTTCAAACTTGACTTATATCTCATCAATATATACATGCATACGAAGATCAGATAAAAACTGCATTCAAGCCAAATTTGAAACGTTTTTATTAAGTCAAGGGCAATAACTCTGAAACCAGTCATCCAATTATTACCAATTTCAAGCTTGACAGAGATCTTATCAATATAAACATGCATACCAAGTTTCATCAAGATCGGATAAAAACTGTAGCCTCTATGTGACTACAAGAAATGTGAACGAACGGACAGACCTGCGAACAGGCAATATACGTCCACATTTCCATGTGGGTGTATAAAAACGGTGTAGTTAGAGCAATGCAGAAGAATTATTCTGGCTTACTCCAACTTCAACTTCTTGTCATTTCATTGTGTGATAAGAGACCTGACTTGAGACACAAAGTCATCACCCTGGTTGTTACATAGAAAACTAATAATGTATTGGTTGTTATTATATTGTTGTAGGTATAAATCTCATTTCTACTAAATGATTTACAACTTTCATCACATTTGTTGGGGTTCTTTAAGTTACTTCAACTTCAAGCATTTCAAATTGACAAAACAACCTATTTCATGAACAAAATCTGACCTCATCTCAAACTTTCTACTTAGCAAAATGCTTAAATATGTGAAATATATTCATAATTGAATGAATTGAATTGAATTGGGTTAACTGTACAGTTTCCCTCGACACTGAACTTTATCTAGAAACTTTTTATGTCAGTGTGTCAAAGTCAATTGCAGGTTCGGGCAAAAAAATAAATATTGTTGATAACATTTATTCTGCCAGCATATATTGAAATAGATTAATGACTTTTTACAATGCTTTTAAAATATCATATTTACAAGATTACCTTGATTTGTTTTGATGAAAACTAATGAAAACGCGTAGACGATAGTCTCGCACTTGTGTCATTTTCTCCCGCCATGCTTGTTTAGGTTTCCGTGAATAATAAAATGAGATTAACTGAAAATGTGGTGCGAAATCTTCGCGTTGCGAAGATATTTCGAGAAAACACTGAACGCATTAATAGCATTGATTTCTCCTCAAACGGAGAGACATTGATTTCGAGTAGCGATGATGATTCAATTGTTATTTATGATTGTTTGAACGGAACGTAAGTGCACGATTTGGATGTTTAGTTTACGTTTACAAAACTAATTGACTATTAATTAATTAGGCCTAATGTGCCTAAACAGTCAAAGCGTTATGGCAATGGTTTTATTTTTAACAGTAATTTTGCAGGTCAAATGAATGAAAACATTGCCTGGTATACTTATTTCAATCAACAGTACTGACCCTTTGTACGAAATGTAAACAAAGTATTCATTTTCTTTGTTTATTTAAATGCAGTTGCTCCCCTTTACATAAAAAGCTTCACATCTATGTTTTTTTGTTTTTTTTAGTAATTGAACTCTTTACCTATTTCAGACCGAAAAGAACATTAAACAGTAAAAAATATGGAGTAGATTTAATTAGATACACACATGCAGTTAATGCAGCATTGCATTCTTCTACTAAAGTAGATGGTAGGTAGTCTATAATATGTACAAATGTCATAGTAAACGCTTATTCAATTGTCATTTTTCTCAATATTTTTTTATCAATGCAGTCATTTAATTACTATCAATACTACATGCAAATTGACATTAATGAAAAAATATAATGTGTTAAATTCAATTAGTGGTACTGACAAAATGCAAAGGTAAAAGTCTTCACTTTTGTTCCTGTATTAAAGGTTAGCATTAAATTCGTTTGAATAGAAATTATATCATCGTTATATCGAAACGATCAAAAACTTCATAAGAAAGATAAGCCAATTGCGAATCATTTCAACCTACTCAATGGTTCCATTGAAAAAGTTCCCTTATTGCCTACTGTTTAACCCAAAACCAAGCGATTGCAGAGAGAGTTTCTGAATCGATCAATTACAAACCGTTGTACCTACTGGTCTAAATATCCAGCATGACAATCTGTTGTAACCCATAATTCTACTGCCAAAAATGCTTCTCTGTCAAACCACATTACAAGGAACTTCAAGACCAATTATCGAATATATTCAAGAAACGTTTTGTTACTGCTTTTAAAATAAACAAAAATCTAAGTAATTTTCTTGTCCATGGCAAATTGGACCCTATTCCATTAACTCTCCAAAAAAATTGCATAATGTGATTTTAAAAAAAAAGTTTTTGTAAATGTTTTTTGTAAATATTGTATTATTCCAGTCTTCAGAATATATATTTTTGTAATTTCTCTTTACGCGCAGCAAAGAACATTTATTATATTACAATTTCAATCTAATCTTTATTTCTCAAATTGATCATTGATGCAAAAGAAGTATGTTCTTGTCTTATGATCTTGGCCAGGAATGTATCAGCCAACAACCAACACAAAAGTATCAATACTAAGTTGGTCTGTGAGCAAGCTTTCATATTTCTTTTATTGCAGATACCATAAGATATTTGTCGTTACATGATAATAAATATATTCGTTATTTCCCTGGTCATACAAAAAAGTAAGTAACATTTTATTAGCTTCTTCTCTATCTGACATTTGTTATCAATTAGACCCCTATCCTCCCTTACACTAGCACTCTGTGCTTTTGGCAATTAGAATATTAACATTTTAACAAATCAAGTTTATATCCTCAAACCCTGTCTCATTTGCGTGATTTTGAAGAGGTTAAAATTTCGTTAGTTAAGTTGCACCTGTTGATCCCTGCTTTTCTACATGTCTTTTTTTACAAAATAGCTACCAGGTGACTCTTTTTTTAACTTTAACATTTCAGGGTTGTTACATTGTGCATGTCACCTATAGATGATAGTTTTCTATCTGGTTCATTAGATAAAACAATCAGATTATGGGATCTCAGATCGCAGAATTGTCAGGTAAATCAGAAACATTTTAAACTCATTTTTCATTTACACTTTTCCTATGGGTTTATTTGCAACCTGCTCTGAATAAGATTAATAAGCTTATATACCTGCATAATAAATGTGTTTTACCAGTTTCTTTATTCTTTTGTAGGGCTTGATGCATTTATCTGGAAGACCAGTTGCGTCATTTGATCCTGAAGGACTTATTTTTGCTGCTGGAATTAATTCTGAAACAGTTAAACTTTATGATTTAAGATCTTTCGACAGGGTGAGTAAAATGTTCAGTAATTGTTTTATCACATACAATGCAACCCTCTTGTCAATGTTTTGCTTAATACTCTTATTGTATGTATAGTTAACAAAATGATAAACATTGGATACATTTCTTTATCCCCAGGGACCATTTGCAGCATTTAAATTGCCACAAGATAAAGAATGTGACTGGACTGGTGTTAAATTTAGTCCTGATGGTAAATTAATATTGATATCAACTAATGGTGGTGTATTACGGCTACTTGATGCTTTTCAAGGAACACCCTTACAAAATTTTACTGTAAGTTTTGTTTGCAAGATGTCTATGTCTTATAAATCATAAGCAAAATGTGAATGTGTCGGCATTTTTTTAGTTAGAAATGCATCATGTAAGGGGTGATAAGATATATTATGATCTGGTAGTCTGGTGATAGATTTGTTATGAATTCTCTTGTGGGATCTGCGTCACTGGAATTGCTGGAATAATAGGCATCTGACAAAGAATTAGAATTTCCCATAAAGAAGTGAAAGGTGTCCCCGATGCACATAAAAAGGCTACAACCTCTTTATAATCCCTTTAATTATACTGAAATTAGCTTAAATGGTAAAAAAAAAAAATAATACTAAATAGATCTGTTGCATCATTTAGATGTAACAATTATACTATGTAAACATATTTATTGATTTTATCAAGTTTTTCCTATAAACCATGCATATGTTACAGGGTTTTACAAACAATAGAGGGTTACCAATAGAAGCATCTTTCAGTCCAGATTCACAGTTTGTATTTTGTGGTTAGTATCATACTTTCTTAATTAAGAAATCTCACATGTTTATTTACTTGCAAGTTTTCATACAAAGAAACTGCATCTTAATTGCAACTTAATATGCAAAATTTGAACTTGAAATTAATCTCTTTAAAAACAAATATCAAAATGATATGGGCCATTGGTTATATTTTAACAAGGCCAAGTCCTTCTATGACTATCATTTCAGTCTAGTAGAAACATTAATGTATCATACCAGGATATGCATAAATAAACATGCCCATCTTTACTATTTAGAAAGCTGATAAATGTGATTCACATTTAAAGAATTGATAAAATTTGGTTAATCTTTGAAAGTAATAACACAGTTATTCATATCTGTATTATGTAATTCTAGGTTCAACTGATGGTAAAGTACACAGTTGGAGCACGGAAACTGGTACTAAATTAGCAATATTACAAGCAGATCATCCGGGTCCAATACAAAATTTACTTTTTAATCCTAAATATATGATGATGGCTTCAGCTTGTTCAAATATGGTAAGAGGTGATAAAAAGATTTTGAAATATCACTAAGACAAGCAGGATTGTTATATATGTGATAGTGATTAAACTGACTATACAATCTTTAAAAGATTTCAAATTTTTGAAATAGTTGTAGTTTCCACATGCCATAATGAAGAATATTCAATAATGAGATATGTAGTTTACATGTACTATTATTGTGCTGGTGGTCTTTGCTTCTCTAAGATTGGATAAAATGAACTGTCACACTACAATGTGAGACAGCACACCATTCTTTCTGTGAATAAAATGATAAAGGCACATTGTAACAATTCACAAGCCCAGCAACTTCAATATACATAATATATATCTAACTATATTACAGGCATTTTGGTTACCATTAGTTGATGAATGAGGTGAAACATATTTATATAGAAGCTAAAAGTGATAATTTCTACTGTTGTGTAATAATATAAGGCTAAACTTGGTGATGGTGAGGTTTATTGGGAATGTGCTTTTGTTTACTGGAAATTATTCCTAAAGTCATCTGTAGAACAATAACATATTTTCAGGACTTTTGAAAGTAAAGTAAGATGCAGGTTTTTCATATGGCCTTGTCAAACTGTTTGTCACCATAAAGATCATATCAAAATAACACAGGTATTGATTTATCAATGTTTGCAGTTCCAAATATGAAATTAAACATTTTATCTGCTACAGACTAAACACTTAGCGTCTTGTGAAAGTTGAAACTAAAAATAGTTGTCAAGTATCACTCTTTCGGCTAATTCCTTCTGATTCAACTATGTTTGAAAATGATAAAAAACTTCATTTCATTTCAAAATATGGATGGAGAATATAGTCTTTAATTCTAGTACAATATGTATTGAATGAAGGAATTAATTAGGAACATGTATCATAGATATAAGCATAATGCATGTCTTAACTAGAGGAGAAGTATCATATAAGTGTGATCAGAATACAGTTTATGTATTAACCTATATAATCAAGAAGATGATGTATTTACTTAAAAGTGAAGTGTAATCTTGTGCTGTGTATTTAAAATACATGTACAGAAAAAACATGATTTGAGAGTTTTCAATTTTGTACTGCCATTTTGTATTTTCTTACTTTAGAATATACTTTTTTATGCTCATACAATATGTATCCATTGGTCCGTCCGTTAACATAAGACTTTAATTGTGTACTAAAAGTTTTCATCTTAATTAAAATTTAAGTGATATTTAGAATGATGAAATAAGAAACAATTCTTTTAACTCATGATTTCTATACAATGGACTCCTGACTCATTTGTAGTAAAAAAAAATTGGCTTGTGTTTTCATCAATTTTTGATAATATTTGAGATGTTTGACAGATTAGAAAGATCTTCTTGATGATGCCCAAGAGGCCAGAGTTTTTTTTCTGAATCACACAATGTCTGAATCTCAGATGAATTTGAGTATGAGCTGTAGCACAGTCGGCTAGAGTGTTAGAATGACATAAAAAAAAATGGAACAAATGATGGTCATGGGTTCTAATCTCAGTCGATTTGTGACAGTCTGTTGACTTGAAAAAGTCATCTTTCCTCAAGTCAACCCATCTTTAACTAGGTGTAGATAATCTGGGAAAGATAAATGTCAGGAGTTTAAAGGAAGACTTAAAGGAATATAAAATTTAAGAATTTTAAACTTGGCCAAGAAGAGCATATATATTCATCAGAAGGTGTCATAAATAACATAACAGGATAATTATATAATATCCGATAAATTTAAAAAACTTAGTGATTATCCATATAAATGAAATTAACAATTGAAAAACGCTTAATATTAAGATTAACAAATAATAACAAAGTTTGATGAATTTTTCAGTGTTAGAAATTTTACAGGGATTCTGTTGTAACTTTATGACACCTGGTAAGGTAACTGATGAATATATACTCATATTGAACATTCTTAAAAACTTCAATTTTATGTTTATTCTAAGACATAGTATCACTTTAAGCCAAGGACTAGCTGGTAAAAGGTATCTTCATGAACCATGTTATTACCCCGGTCAAAAATAGTAGTTTCTTTTTTTTTTGAAAGTAACAACATTGTGTTCTGTCAACCACAGTTTTTGTCCACTTTGCTTGTGTTAAAAAGTATTTTGCAATGCTGTTGTAAAGGTATGTCATCATTTTATTTCATTTCACGTGTGTGATACCAGTCATTCATTTAAGTAGTACAGAACCACTTTTGAGAATTTTATTCATTCTTGAGATAAATTTTAAGAAATCCTGACAATTGCTAAATAATAACTCAACTTTGTAACCCTATATTTGTATCCTGTATACAATAATAAGACAAATGTGTTTATATGTGTTCATTTGAATTCACTTTCGGTCATGCATTTCATTATTATTTATCAACTTCTATTTCTAAGGAATAGATTGATTCTAGATACATTTATACTTAAGTTTGCAATGTAATGATTATTTCAAAGGTTCTTTGTTAAGTTTGGTAATCTGTTATTAATTCATGTATCATTTATTTTTCATTGTGTTTTCATTTTATACGCCCACATGAAATGGGGGGCATATATTGGCGTCACCCATGTCCGTCGGTCCGTCCGTCCACAATTGCTTGTAAGCACACTACAAGACACAATTCTTGACGGATTTTGACAAAACTTGGTATGAGTGTTCTTAATCACCCAACAATGAACCCTATTGAAAATCAGAAGACTCGAAAAATATTAAGTATAAGTTATTGCCCTTGTTCTTGAAAACGCGTTCAATTTTTAGCTCGTAAACACTCTAGAAGGGACAATTATTGATGGATTTTGATGAAACTTGGCATGAGTGTTTGTTATCAACCAAGGATGAACCCTATTGAAAATCAAAATAATCAAAAACTATTTAGTATGAGTTATTGCCCTTGTTTTTGAACACGCGTTAAATTTTTAGCTCGTAATCATTTTATATGGCACAATTCTTGAGGGATTTTGATGAAACTTGGTGTGAATGTTCGTACTCACCCAAGGATGAACCCTATTGAAAATCAGAAGAATTGAAAAATATTTTGTATGAGTTATTGCCCTTGTTCTTGAAAAGGCTTTCAAATTTAGCTCTTTAACATTAAAAGGCATGATTCTTGCTGGATTTTGACAAAACTTGGTTTTATTGTTCAGTTTCTCGCTGAAGATTGAATATTTGCCTGTCTAAAGTTTTCACGAGCTAAAGAATTGAACACGTTTTCAAGAACAAGGGAAATAATTCATACTCAATATTATTCAGTATCGCTCTAAAGAGTTCAAAAGAAGTGTATGACTGAAGGTTGAATATTTTATACTGGTGATTGTTACTGTACTACTAAATATTTTTATTCAAAATCAAAACGGCTAGTGGGCGTATATTACCTTGCCTGGCAAGCTATCTTGTAAATACTAAACAAACATATAAACTCTAAATCATCAATGTTTTGTGTTTTTATATGCCACATGAAATGGGGGGCGTAAATTTCCGTCGTCGATCCGTTCGTCTGTACACAATTGCTCATAACACTCTACAAGGCACAATTCATTTCGCCGAAACTTGGTGTGAGTGTTTGTAATCGCCCAAAGATAAACCCTATTGAAAATCAGAAGAATTGAAAAATATGTAGTATGAGGTATTGCCCTTGTTCTTGGAAACTCGTTCAATGTCTGTGTACACTCTAGAAAGTATGAATTTTGAAGAAACTTTTGAAATTGTTTATTATCACCCATGGATGAACCCTATTGAAATTGAAAAAAAAAACAAAAAAATGTTTTATAGGAGTAATTGACCTCGTTCTTGAAAACGCTTTCAAATTTTAGTTCTTTAACACGAAAAGGCACAATTCTTGCCAGATTTTGACAAAAATTGGTTTTTATGCGCCCACATGAAATGGGGGGCGTATATTTTCGTCACCCTGTCCATCCCCCCACAATGGCTCGTAAACACTCTACAAGGCACAATTCTTGATTGATTTCGATGAAACTTGGTATAGTTGTTTGTAATCACCCAATGATGAACCCTATTGAAAATCAGAAAAATCGAAAATATTTAGTATGGGTCATTGCCCTTGTTCTTAAAACACTCGTAAACACTCTAGAAGGCACAATTTCTCACGGATTTTGATGAAACTTGGTGTGAATGGTTGTTATTACCTAAGGATGAACCCTATTTAAAATCAAAAAGATATAGAAATAATTAGTATGAGTTATTGCCCTTGTTCTTGAAAACGTGTTCAATTTTAGCTTGTGAACACTCCAAAAGGCACAATTCTGGACGGATTTTGCCGAAACTTGGTATGAGTGTTTGTAATCACCCAAGGATAAATCCTATTGAAAATCAGAAAAATTGAAATATATTTAGTATGAGATATTGCCCTTGTTCAATTTTTAGCTCGTAAACACTCCAGAAGGCACAAATCTTGACATATGAAACTTGGTATGAGTGTTAGTAATCACACAAGGATGAACCCTGTTGAAAATCAGAATAATCGAAAAATAATTCAAATGAGTTATTGCCCTTGTTCTTGAAAACGCGTTCAATTTTTAGCTCGTAAACACTCTAGAAAGCTCTATTATTGACAGATTTTGATAAAACTTTGTATGATGTATCCTATCTTTCCACATGGAATATTTATTATTTAGCGACCAGGTCCTATTGTTGAAAAATATCCTTTTACATTTTCTACCACCCAAATCTCTACTTTTAAACTAATATATAAAATACAAAATATACCAAGTGCATACTCCCTAATGAAAGAGTAAGAATGTATTATTATAATTTATGGATATAGACTTGTTACATCCATACATTACATCATCCATCCATCATGTTTCTTTGTGATTATTGAGAAGGCATACGAATCCTCTCATAGGGACATTGTCGACAACAGCAAATTAAAGGGACATATTTTAGTCTTGAATATGTAATATATTCTTCAGAAGTACTAGAAATGTACGGAATTGCATATTTCTTTTAAAAATACTTCAGACAAGGAATTTTACTCACTATTTCTATGTAAGTCTCTTTTTATATCACAGAGAAGCTTAAATTGATGAGTCATCATTTTAACATTCAATCACATGGCTTTTAAGGCACAAATTTCGACAGTGAGCTGTTACCACTATTACTGAAAAATTCCCGTATATGAGACTAAAGTATGAACAGTCAAAAAAAAAAAAGGCGCATCTGTTCCTTTAATGAAAAGCAGTAAGGAAATTTTCAAAGAAATTTTTTTTGTGGTTTAGAAAATTAAAAGGTTATTTCCCTTGATTGCAGACTTCTACTTTCATTTTTATAAAATTATGCATTTAATGTTTTGACATCCGGTTTAGTAATATAAACTGGGTGTTTTAATTTTATAACTAAAAAGAATTCTTTATGATGATCAGGAGTGGGCTATGTAATACAACAGATTCAGAACAGATTCATAGTTTCTTGTTTACAAATGTAAAGCCACATTACAATAACTATTAATTGTGACACTGCTTCTGGCCCTCACGGCCTCAGTCATAAATCACATCTTGTCAAGCTAATACGAACTGCATCCTATGCCGTGACTGTCATAGCCACCTTTCTTGTATCATGGAAATTTGCCACCACATAGAGGTATTAAATTGGAACAATCATGTTGAATAGTAAGATTTGTGTCAAAGCAAATAACCAACATTTAAAGCTCAAAAACTCATTCCCTTAGACTGCCTTAGAGAACAGACTTTGTGTATTCTCAATTCGTGGTTACATCAGATGTTGTGAGACCCCCCTTTTTCATAAATCTCAATCCCAAGCCAATCAAATAAGATTTGGATATCAATGACACTGTTCAACGTTGATGGTGATAATATGCTAATTAATGATTAAATATCAATTGATCGTCAAAATTATAATGATTTAGCTAAGTAAAATTATTGTACACGAAAAAAGAATTGCTAGAACTATTCATTCCTTGACCTTCCCAAGTATATGCACAGCGTTTGGCAGAATTCAAGTCTCGATTTTCCCAATTCAGAGAGTTCAGATTTCGGAATTTTAAGCACATTGGGTATCTAAGCTTTGTACATTGTTAGTTAAAAATTTAGAAATTTCTGTATCGCTAGCAAAATTTTAGGTCTATATATTTTGTTAATCTATATTCATTTCAAATCATTTAAAGTAAAATTTTCAAAAGCCTTTTTTTTTAAAAAGATCTTCAGATCTATTTGCTGGTCTATCATTAGTTTTTGATCATGAGTATTAGGCCTACTCTAAGAATAAAGTGTCCACATTACCGTGCTTACCTACAAGAGCAGTAAATTCATGTTATTTAGTAGACATAGTTAAAGATTAATAGAGATTAATAGAGATGGAAGTATTTGTGTTTTTCATTTCAGGTATCTTGTATTCTGAAGATTAGGAGAGATGATTCTAATCTATTAAAACTTTGGTGAAAATAAGGTTGAAATACAAGGCATTTGAAAATGGCCGGTGATCGTCAAATTTTCACTGATAGCCATGCTAAATCTATTCTTACTAGTATGAATAATTTAAGAAAAATAAATACTTTATGTGACGTGACATTGATAGTACAGAATCAGTGTTTTTCAGCCCACAGAATAGTTCTAGCAGCTTGTAGTGACTATTTTTGTGCTATGTTTACCAATAAAGTGAGTTGGATTATTTGGAATTGAAATAAAAAGAAAGATCCTTATCCATGTTAAAATTTTCATGGTAGTTTGCGACAATTAAGAGTATTTTTATCTATTAGGGAGTTTACAATAACAAAATGTTAAACAATGGAAACAACAAAGCTATTGATTGGTTAAATGATCTGTGAATCAGAACATGACATGCATAAGAATTTTGTCAGATCATGGAATGTAAGTAGAGTCAAACACAGAAAAACACAAAACAAGACATCCAGACTTGTGTTGTAATCAGATTGGATGGAACAACTTTCTAATCTCTATACATTATTTAATTGTAGATGAAAGAAAGAGATAAGTCTATAATAGAACTACATGATATATCAGCTCCTGTTTTAGAAGTTTTATTAGATTTTGTTTATACTGAAACAGTTAATGTTAGTGTCGAAAATGTTCAAGAATTACTTCCAGCAGCTTGTCTTCTTCAACTTACAGGTAGACGTCTGGGCTATTTGCAAGAGAAGTACCTGCAATTATTTGAAGCCTTTCGTTTAGTCACCATAGTCTAATGGTCATGGATATAGAGAAAATGTCTAGCTTTATTGTTGATCAATGTTCCCAACTAGACCATGACTTACCAGAATTGTTCAGTTTTCGGTGTCTGCTAAGTTATAAGGAACTGTTTGTATTTATCTATCACTTGGTGTGAGTGTATGTAATCACCAAAGGATGAACCCTATCAGAAATCAGAAAAATCGAAAAATATTTAGTATCAGTTATTGCCCTTGTTCTTAAAAACACGTCCAAGTTTTAGCCTGTAAACATTCTAGAAAGAACAATTCTTGACAGATTTTGATGAAACTTGGTAATATTATTCAGTATCGACTCAAAAAGTTCAAAAGAAATGTATGACTGAAGGTTGAATGTTTCATACTGGTGATTTTTACTGTACTGCCAAATATTTAACATCAAAGCTGTCAATGGGGATATATTACCTTGTGTTGCCTATCTTAAAGGGATAGGTTCGCCATTTTAGGGAGTTGTTTTTGGTCTTGAATATATTGAAGTACTAAAAATGCATGAAAATAGGATTATTTATCTTTCTATATACGGTATAATCTAAAGAAAAGATGTGTGTCATTTTAATTTTCAAATGCGGATAATTCTGGACAGACATAGATTTGAAGGTTCAAATTTGGACTGTGAGCTATGAACACTATTACTGATCAGCTTAGCAGAAAAAATTCCAGTTTATGAGACTATGGTACGATTGGTCAAACGTATGGTGAATAGGTCCCTTTAATGAAAAATACAGAGATTTGTTGCTAACATTATCTAAAAGATTTTCTTATACACAACAGCTCAAAGCAAAATACCAAACAAGATAACCCAATTAAAATGAATGTGTGAAATCTGCTTGTTGTGATTAATAAAGACTAATTCCATATTTTAAAGGTGTTAAAGAAGCTTGTTGTACATTCCTAGAGAAACAGTTAGATTCAAGTAACTGTCTTGGTATTAAAATCTTTTCTGAAAGTCATTCATGTGATTCATTATGCCAAGCAGCTGAGTCTTACAGTCTACGCCATTTTGAAGATGTGGTTACTCAAGATGAATTTAAAAGCCTGTCAATTGATGAATTAGAAAGATTAATTAGTAGTGATGAGCTACAGGTAATGTTCAAGATGTAATTTTTACTTTAAAAAAAACAAATCAAATTCTTTGACAAAAAAAGTGCACAAGAAATGCCGTCCAGGATTCTACAATGTGATACTTCCTTAGAGAAAAGTATTTGCTCTCTAAAAGCATCAGAAAAATGCTTTTAGTGAATTTCCAAAATAAAAGATAGATTGATTAGTTTGAAAAATAGCTTGTCATTCAAGGTAACATACGCTCACTGGCAGTATCCGAAATGATCAGAATATCTAGTTAACAAAATATAAATTTTGTAATATTCAAGATCTTCAAAAAAAACTGATTTGTAGTTTAAAAACTCTTCAATTGTCTTTTTTAAATAATAGCAATAGCAATAACCCAGAAATATTGATTTATCACACTCCTCTAATGTCTTAAATTTTCAAAGATTAGAGCTATTTTGATGATAATAAGATGATAAAACTGATGATTATTTGACTTTTACATAACTTAAACCTGAGAAAGAAACTTTTGGATATTTTGTTGGCTTTACTGCATCCTGATAATTGTGAACTGGCAATAGCAACCATATACTGATTATTTCTTTGTTAAGGTCAATAGTGAAGAACCTGTCTTTGAGGCCGTGATTACTTGGGTAAAATTCAATGAGGTAGAAAGGGTTCCTTACCTATCCAACCTATTACAATTTGTACGATTACCATTACTGTCAGCTAGATATATTACTGATTATATAGATAATGAGGTGGGTAGATCTATATATCATTACTGTCAGCTAGATATATTATTGATTATATAGATACTGAGGTAGGTAGATCTATATATCATTACTGTCAGCTAGATATATTACTGATTATATAGATAATGAGGTGGGTAGATCTATATATCATTACTGTCAGCTAGATATATTATTGATTATATAGATGAGGTAGGTAGATCTATATATCATTGTTTCCATATGTCAGATAAATAGATAACTGATAATATAGATAATGAGGTAGGTAGATCTATAACATTGTTTGCCATTACTGTCAGCTAGATATATTATTGATTATATAGATACTGAGGTAGGTAGATCTATATATCATTACTGTCAGCTAGATATATTATTGATTATATAGATACTGAGGTAGGTAGATCTATAACATTGTTTGCCATTACTGTCAGTCATATATATTACCGATTATATAAGTAATGAGGTAGGTAGATCTATATATCATTGTTTGCCATTACTGTCAGCTAGATATATTACTGATTATATAGATAATGAGGTAGGTAGATCTATATATCATTGTTTGCCATTACTGTCAGCTAGATATATTATTGATTATATAGGTAATGAGGTAGGTAGATCTATATATCATTACTGTCAGTTAGATATATTACTGATTATATAAATGAGGTAGGTAGATCTATATATCATTGTTTGCCATTACTGTCTGCTAGATATATTACCAATTATATAGATACTGAGGTAGGTAGATCTATATATCATTGTGTGCCATTACTGTCAGCTAGATATATCACTGATTATATAGATACTGAGGTAGGTAGATCTATATATCATTGTTTGCCATTACTGTCAATATAGCCTCTGGGACTATGTTGTGTACTTTTACACAGATTTCGGCCTTGTCAATACATCAATGATGAATGAGGTTTATTAACAGTTATAATAATCACAGTACAATACAGTGGTCAGTAGTAGTTATTGGTCTATGGTAGATGATAATAATAGGAATAACATATCTAAGAACTGATGATACGGATGATGATGTGATATGATGATTGACTAAAAAGACAATAATAAAATTCTTAATTAGACTTTAACTTTATCAATAACTTGTCTTATGACTGGTGGGGTGGGTAACGCCTGATTGCTGGCATATGATTGACTAGGATGACTTTGACTAGATGTATGCTCCTACTATAAAATTACAATTAAACCCAAACTTGCAGTCTATGTAACTCTTACAATAACATAATTGTCTTTCTTAGTTTCATGCCATAATAAAATGATAGGGCTGTCTGCTTTTTAGGATATGGGTCTAATCCAAGCTGTTTTATGCTCATTTCTGCTCAAGTCCATGCAAAAATAGCCTAAGCATAGTCTAAACTTAAATTACAGATATCAACTTAATTAACAAACCATATTATGAGCCTATCAGTTTTCTTTGAGGACATCAAAACTTGACTTTAACTTTCTTTGACTTTGGAACTTTCTAGACTAAAAACTTTTCACAGGAAAAGGAAGTAGACTAAAACTTCCAGCAAATAAATATTTAAACAATACTAGATTAACCAGCCTCTAATGGACTATATGCCTACTATCCACTGTGCTATTAGAAGTGTGTTATGTTGGTTATAATGCTTTGACTATTGATTAACTATTAAAGATGCATATTTGACCTAACAGTCAGCTAGATATATTACTGATTATATAGATACTGAGGTAGGTAGATCTATATATCGTTGTTTGCCATTACTGTCAGCTAGATATATTATTGATTATATAGATAATGAGGTAGGTAGATCTATATATCATTGTTTGCCATTACTGTCAGCTAGATATATTTCTGATTACATAGATAATGAGGTAGGAAGATCTATATCATTGTTTGCCATTACTGTCAGCTAGATATATTACCGATTATATAGATAATGAGGTAGGTAGATCTATATATCATTGTTTGCCATTACTGTCAGCTAGATATATTACTTATTATATAGATAATGAGGTAGGTAGATCTATGTATCATTACTGTCAGCTAGATATATTACTGATCATATAGATAATGAGGTAGGTAGATCTATATCATTGTTTGCCATTACTCCCAGCTAGATATATTACTGATTATATAGATAATGAGGTAGAATGTGCCACTCCTCTCAGCTAGATATATTACTGATTACATATGAGGTAGGTAGATCTATATATCATTGTTTGCCATTATCACAGCTAGATATACTGATTATATAAATAATGAGGTAGGTAGATCTATATCTTTGTTTCCAATTACTGTCAGCTAGATATATTACTGATTATATAGATAATGAGGTAGGTAGATCTATATATCATTACTGTCTGCTAGATATATTACTGATTATATAGATACTGAGGTAGGTAGATCTATATCATTGTTTGCCATTACTGTCAGCTAGATATATTATTGATTATATAGATAATGAGGTAGGTAGATCTATATATCATTGTTTGCCATTATCACAGCTATATATACTGATTATATAAATAATGAGGTAGGTAGATCTATATCTTTGTTTCCAATTACTGTCAGCTAGATATATTACTGATTATATAGATAATGAGGTAGGTAGATCTATATATCATTACTGTCTGCTAGATATATTACTGATTATATAGATACTGAGGTAGGTAGATCTATATCATTGTTTGCCATTACTGTCAGCTAGATATATTATTGATTATATAGATAATGAGGCAGGTAGATCTATATATCATTGTTTGCCATTATCACAGCTAGATATACTGATTATACAAATAATGAGGTAGGTAGATCTATATCTTTGTTTCCAATTACTGTCAGCTAGATATATTATTGATTATATAGATACTGAAGTAGGTAGATCTATATATCATTACTGTCAGCTAGATATATTACTGATTATATAGATGAGGTAGGTAGGTCTATATATCATTACTGTCAGCTAGATATATTACTGATTATATAGATAATGAGGTGGGCAGATCTATATATCATTACTGTCAGCTAGATATATTACTGATTATATAGATGAGGTAGGTCAGTCTATATATCATTACTGTCAGCTAGATATATTACTGATTATATAAATGAGGTAGGTAGATCTATATATCATTACTGTCAGCTAGATATATTACTGATTATATAAATGAGGTAGGTAGATCTATATATCATTACTGTCAGCTAGATATATTACTGATTATATAAATGAGGTAGGTAGATCTATATATCATTGTTTCCATATGTCAGATAAATAGATAACTGATAATATAGATAATGATGGAGATTTTTATCAGCAAGATATATTGGTAATAATTCTTGACATTGGACATAGGTCTTTTATCTAGGAAGTATATGGTCATCATGTTTTCATTCACTAAAAGATTAGAATTAGCATTTAATATTTTTACATTGCATCTTTGAAGAAGAAAGCACTGCACTCCAGCTCCTCAAAAGAAATCAATATTTTTTCATTACAGGCTTTAGTGAAGTCATGTCATAAATGCAGAGATTTAGTGGATGAGGCCAAAAAGTTTCATCTGAGACCAGATTTACGTGGACAAATGAATGGACCAAGAATGAAAACCAGAATAGGTCAGATACTGATGATATGTCTAGCATTTGGAAAATAAAACTCACAAGGGGATAACTTTTAAAAGCTTCTAGTTTATGTTTCTAAATTCTGTGGATGACCAGCCACACACTAACGTAATATATACCTGAGCAGCCGGTATACCGGCCGTTGCTAAGTGTCGTCATACAACGTTACTGTCATACGCTTTTACTTTTATTACTTGGAGTTCAGGGTATATTTCATTTACACTCAGGGTTCAAAGGGTTAAAGGTCAATGAAGACTTAATCCAACTCGCTTGTAAATTTGACTATTGAAGATTAGAAAAATCCATGCAGCTATGCATTGAAACTTAATTGCTCAAACTATGCTTAAATTTTTCACATTTGATCTTATGTCTAAATTGCTTCAACAGGTACTGATGATATATTAGTTGTTGTTGGGGGCTTCGGTTCACACCAGAATCTAGTTGATACTGTGGAACAGTATAATCCAAGAACTCAATCTTGGAGCAGACTGCCTGTAAGTATCATCTATTAATACCCCCAGTCATTCACTAATTATGGAATACCTTGTAATAATGTCTGTAGCTATTCTAGATACTGATATTTTAAGCCATATTCTGTGTATGGTTTTGTGCAATGATTTTATTTGTTAACAGGATTTAACCAAGAGAAGACGGTATGTGTCATCAGCCTCAGTAAATGGTTGTGTCTATATATTTGGAGGTTATGATGGTCAATCTAGATTGAATACAGTAGAATGTCTAGACATCTCAGATGAGAAGCCTATGTGGGTGACTGTAACCAATATGAATCACAGAAGGGGTTTGGCTGGTGTTTGTGTGTATAGAGGTATTAATATCACTAGTTTTCTCATTGTGGTGTTTTATGCAGTAACCTTGCTCCTGACTTTTGGCATTCTTAAGTTAAATCTGAATCTTGAATCTGAAAATTTATGATATATCACATGTGACTTAGTACATATACTAATTTTGCTAAATCTGAAACATTTAGATCATATCTATGTATGTGGTGGTTTCGATGGATATTCTCGTCATACCAGTATGGAGAGATATAATCCAGCAACAAACCAGTGGACAATGTTAAGTGGTATGGCTAAAGGTAGAGAAGGAGCAGGACTGGTAGAAGCTGGTGATATGATCTACTGTATTGGAGGATATGATGGCATTCATTTATTACATTCAGCTGAAAGATATGATCCACAAACAGAACAATGGTCTACAATATCTCCAATGTCTACACAACGATCTGGTATGTATTTTGTATCAAATGTTCATAGTAATGACTATGGCTATAGAGAACAAAGTAGTTTTGATTGTGTCATTAACTACCTTGTATGTAGCAGTTGCTCAATATATTATTTAAGTATATAATTTACAAGTTGCTTTTTGAAATATATAAGATTATCTTATATATTGTTTACTTTTATAGGTGCTGGTGTTGCTGTTGTTCATAATATATGTTCTATCTAATTGTTTATGTTTATAGGTGCTGATATTGCAGTTGTTTATAATACTATCTATGTATATTGTTTATAGGTGCTGGTGTTGCTGTTGTTTATGATAATATTTATGTATATTGTTTATGTTTATTGGTGCTGGTGCTGCTGTTGTTTATAATATTATCTACATATATTGTCTGTTTATAGGTGCTGGTGTTGCAGTTGTTTATAATCTATGTATATTGTTTATGTTTATAGGTGCTGGTGTTTCTGTTGTGAATGATATTATTTATGTTTGTGGTGGCTATGATGGTAATGAACACCTGTCAACAGTTGAATGTTATAATACGAACACTGGACATTGGACATCATTACAGCACATGATAGTACCAAGATGCTATGTTGGAGCGTGTGTTTTGCAGGGAAATCTGATGGTTGTTGCTGGGTATGTTTCACTAAAATAACTTACACATATAATAATGAGTATTAGCAAAACAGTTGCAATACATGACACTTTTTTACAATAAATCCATAAAAAGGTTACAAGGTTGATGACATCATAATATTAGTAATAACTGCACTTGAAGGTTACCAATTTACATACAAGAAGGACTGGATGATAGGAGCCAATTCTAAATTGAATATTATGTAATCTAATAGACATCATAACTGAACACGCTAGTAATAATTAACACACCTATCAATCATGTTAACAGAACTTGTGGTATACAAATTATTGTCATATTTATGTGGTATATATAAGAACGAACAAATATGCTACCAAATGTGATTATATAGAAAAGAAAGAAAAAATTTAAGCTATGGACCAAGAAATGTTTTTTTCTCATAATCTGTAACAGATTGTAAGTCTGCCAGAGCTATACAAATGTGGCAATGACTGACACATTATTAATTTTTGTTTGTTTACAGATATGATGGCAATCTGTTATTAAATTCTGTAGAACTGTATAATCCATTGATTGAAACCTGGGAGGTTTTAGATGGTAGTATGGCTACACCAAGATGTGATGCTGGAGTGTGTGTGGTCCGTGTACCATAAAAGAGGGGTTGCCTAGCAAGATACGCCCACTTTCCTCATACATTTTCAGTACATCAAGGGCAGTCACTAATCTGAGTCAAATCATACCAAAAATCTAATTTGTGCAAGATATTGTTGACTTAAACAAAGACACATTATTTAATAAAATTCTGACATAAACTGTCACCTCTATCGCTAACAAATTTTGATGAGTTTTTACTAAGTCATGGGCAATAACTCAAATTCTGTTGATCGAAAAATTGTCAAATTCAATCTTGACTAAGATCTCATCATTATAAATGATCATACCAAATTTCATTTAAATCAGATGAAAACTGTACTCTCTATTGTGTTCACAAACAAATTTTGACGCGTTTTTCATAAATCAAGGGCAATTACTCAAAAACCGTTCATCGAAAAATGGTGAATATTGAACTTGTCCAAGATCTCACCAATATAAATGATCATACCAAATTTCATTCGAATCAGATGAAAACTAGTCTCTATCGCGTTCACAAGCTAATTGTGGACAGACGGACGTACGGACATGGGTGACGACAATATACGTCCACATTATAATGTGGGCATATAAAAACAAGTATATGCTGGTCATTTTCAATAATTTATATCAACTTATGTCTTCCACCAGGCTTTTTATTTTTTAGTAATGCCCTTGTGTGTATGTTAGTCTATGCTGTTTCTACCTATTGTCTTGCCGTCTGTTTATGGACCTATTTTATATTCATAATGCTAAACAATATAAAACATTGTATTGCTGTGAGTAATATTAATTGATTTGTTTCAATATTATATTCCTTACGGCAGTTGATGTAGATAACTGAATTCTTATGGATTACAATATCTTTGAAGTGAAAACATTGCTAAAATTGAACTCAATATGTTTCAATAATAATTTCGTGATTTAAATTAGATTAGTCCAGCCAATTAGAATAAGAATATAAAACAATGAAACCATTATTAAGTATACAATCTAAGTATTAAGATGTACTACAAAACTACTTTGGGAAAATAGAAATACACAAACTATCGTCCCCAAGCAACTGAAAAATCCATGAAATTTGGTGACAAGAAAATAAATGATTTCCCAGTATCTTTAGTAAGATTATGATGTATATATTATATTGGATCTTCTACTTATATCAGTAAAATGAAGAGGTTCAGCATTGGTTGCCAGATTTAAATTTTGTAAGTCAGAGTTTTATACTGATGTTTGTTGCAGCATGTATTGTTAATGATGCTTAAAAGGGCTATGTTTAGTTTTTTTTTATGATGGGTCATTAAAGTGTGAATTCTCCCAAAAAATTTAGCAGTTAGTATATCACAATCGACTCTACATTTCTTTCAGTTAAGTAATAAGTAATAAAATGTAAATATATTATTGTTTTTGATTTTACCAGAAGATGGGTAATCAATCACCATTACATACATTCCCGAAATATAAGACTATTTGACAGAATACAGCTGAGCAATTAATAAGTGTATTACTGAATGAATCGTTAAAGAGGCTTTATAAATTTTTTAAGTGTATCGTGGACACATCACCACATTGCACCCTTCCAATTTTTAATCAGACATCTGTGGTTCCTGCAATTCCACTAAAACTCTTGATTGAAATTGCAATTGGCGTAAATGGATCAATATTCTCAAAACACATAAAAAATTTAGAAAACCTCTTTACAATCCCTTTAATGAAACAATTACTGAATAGAAGATACTGGTTATCCAGACCTCATTGGCATATATGGATATAGGAGTGGTCAGTGCACACAAAACAATGGGAACTTGCACTTTAATATCTGAATATGTATCATACACAGTGCAATACAGCACATGTTGATGCAATTATCCTAGAAAAAATACAGATTAAAATATAATATTTTAATTGCTTGATGTATAATATAACAAGAAAACAACAATGGCACCAGTATTTAAAATATACAGTATATCAACTGATAAATATTTATCAAAATTCCGTAAATTTTTACCAAAATGCCATCATGATGGATTGTTTGAACAAGAAGTTGACAAGCAAGTATGCCCACTTTTAAAATTTTTTATATATCAAGGGCTGTAACTCAGGAAATATTTGCCAGATCATACTCAAATTTAAACCTGTCCAAAATCATGAGGATATAAACATACACACAATCTTACATTTACAAGCCACTTTAAACATATTTTAGATAAATCAAGGGTTGTAACTAAGGTAAACTTGTCAAATATTTTATAAAAATCTTACTCAAACTGTGGCCTCCATAGCTTCAAGAAGCCAGACAGACGGACCTACAAACAGTGGTGACAACAATTAACATCCACATTACATTAGAAATTATTTCTTAGCAGCTTTCACTAAACATAACGATCATACCAAATCAGATTCAACCAAATCATTTTAAACCTATGCTGTTCAACACATTCAACTAGTTATTTTGAGGAATTTGGCAAGGCCAAGGAGATTCATACAAAGTACAACATACTATTTGAATACCAAATATCACCATAATCTACTCATCGACTTCAAAAGCCAATTTCAATGTATTTTGAGAACAATAACTCTTAATTCCATACGCCAAAAATCATGAAAGTAAAATTTTCCACAAACAAGTTTCATCAATAACCCAAAAAAAACCCAAAAAACTGTCGAGTTTACATCCATAATGTGGGACTATGAAAAAGACAACATTTGGTGTGACTTGAACACATACAAGTGAAACTGTAGATTTATTGTCAAGTCACAAAGTAAATACAAAAATGACATCAATTTCATATATAATTTCCACACAATCACCTTAACCAACATATCCAAGATTTAACAAAAGAAAACATATTCTAGACTGATCTATCCTTGTAGTTAAAACCTACTTTTATACAACAGTCTTGGTTAAGATTTTCATATCAATTGTATTTTTCCTGGAATCCCTAACCCTAATAAATAAGTAAACCCTCCACCTAATAAATTAAAAATCTATCTTCTCAATTTAACTCGAGATACTTATGTCAGTTTCAAGAATTCTTCTTTATAAATTAAATTATATCTTTTTGATTTTATTAAGTTACACCAGGGAAACTAGTTTGATTGTAGCTTCTTAATAAGATGTGTTAGTTGTGGAAAATATTTTTATTGATGCAAGATCTTAAAGGCTAGATGTTGACACTGCAACAATTTAAAGGTTGACATTAGATGGCAATTGGAATACACTGTTTGTTAAAAGTTTTATTCATAAGTTGATTTATAAAAGGTTTTCTGACCATCATGATAAAACTTTGCAAGACATTGTCAATAAATAGCTCCATGTATCACTAATAACAGAGGTATTGACCTGATTTTAAATAACAATATATATAAGTAAAACAATAATCATACATTATCAAATAATAATGTGAATTATTTTATAACAACCCCACACTACAAGTCCTAATACACTCAGTTTAATACTAGATTTGACTATACGAGATATAGCAGAAGGTTCTGGTATTCTGAAATGATAAAAATAATACAATGTTAATCCAGATTGGAGAATTGATCACACCTGAACTCATCCTACAATACTTTATTGATTTATTTATCTCCTTCAACAACTTATATAAATCCATTCTAATCATCATTTTTGTCTGAAGGCTTAACTGATGAATCTGAGGATGTTACAAAATAACATGAAGTTATTTGTTCAAAATAAGAACAACAAACCATTCTGATTACATTAGTTGCTGATTTTAATGTAGTTTAAGAAGTATAACAATCTATAGATAATAATACATTGACATCCACAATAATGTTCTGAAACTTTATGATATAAATACGATAGCCTACGTTATAATATCGGCAATATTTTGTTCTTTAGACCAATTAGCCACTATTCCAGGTACATGACCAATACCAACAACACCAACTACTACTGATGGTATTAGCCCTAAATATCAAATATCAGTAGTATAAAAATCATGACCCCTGAAGTTGGGTACTTCAGATGAGTTTTTCAATACATGTACCACTGTATATCTTTAAATTTGAAATTGTAAAACAGGAATGCTATAGGGTTGCAATCAAATTTTTTAGAGCAAATTTTTCATACACCAACAATGACAATATTTGGATGATCCCATTTTGAATAATTGACTTATCAAGAGTTTTCATTTGATTTGTAAGTTGGTATTCTTATGCTGACTGAAAGGAACTCAGAGAATGTTTTGATAGTATCAGAGTTATTTCCCTCTATTGGCTGCAGGTCTGTTTGTCTAAAACTTTTGTAAGTATGTTTGAATCTTGATATTTGGATTGATAAGATCTTGGATGAGTTTGAGAATTGAGGATTCAATTAACAGTGTGGTTCTGGACAAAATCTCTATGGTACGGAGATGTTTCGGAAACTCATAAGGAAAGCTAGTATATGAATAGGAATGGTTCAGATTAAGTAAAAATCTATATAATATGAAACATATATCACTTACCATTAGCAGATGGAGATTCAAGCATGGGTCGAGCAGCAAATTTTAATGAGTGGGTTAGGAAAATGTCTCTTTCATCAACGAAAACACGACTTAATGCTGGAAATTCACCAGTCATTTCTTTCAACATTTGTTCTAATAAATCTTTTTGTTTACATTTCTCTACTTCTTCTTTACTGTCAATATAGAATCAAAAAATTTTTATAGATTAGATTCAATCATTTCTCTCACTCAAATACGGTTAAGTTGTCAAAAGGAAAATAATTTTAGGTTTTCCATTTTTACTGATACAGTCCTGGACTTGTTTAATCAATATCAACAGAAGGTAAAATTAACTTTGGTTATGAATTTGTTTTTTTAAATCGTATTACTATGAGCTTCATGTTACTTTACTTCTGGCCATGGATTTCTCAGAAAAGGACATACCTGATGGGTTCTTTGGACGTAATAATATACCAAGCTAAACTAAGTTTCTGCCAGAATGATAAAGAACCTAAGGCACGTTTTAATGTTATTTGAATAGGACGATCTCCTAAGTGCATTCTACAACCAGGAACTCTTTGAGCCTAGATAAAAATAATAAAAACAAATATATACACTAAATAATTTAAGATTTCACTTTACTAACCGTGTGTGGCTGTTCTGGCATATTTTCCTCATTGTGTGGCAGGCACCAGTCTTCATAAGCTTAAACAAGTGGTTGACTAGCAAGATACGCCCACTTTCCTGATACATTTTCAGTATATCAAGGGCAGTCACTAATCTGAGTCAAATCATACCAAAAATCTAATTTGTGCAAGATATAGTTGATTTAAAGATGGGTTCCCTTTTTTTTCATTTACGAAAATGGAAATGCTAATACTTATATGAATAGAGAGTGGAGGTGTTTTCTAATGACTGGGAAAATACTAGTTTGTCTCACATGAGAATTACCATTCCAATGAGTGGCCGATCAAGAAAGGTCAAAAAGTATTTTTTTCGTTTATCCAAGCTGTATATACATGGACATTTAGGTTATGTTAGGTTAAAACTCTTAATTACATGAGAACATAATAAGAAGATAATGATATGATTAAGAATACATGATAATTCATTAGAAACACCAATTAATCACATAGATTGCTTAATTTGACACCTATCTTTTAATCAAACACAAAAACTTTAATAAAATTCTGACATAAACTGTCACCTCTATCACGTTAACAAACCAACAAATTTTGATGCATTTTAACGAAGTCAAGTGCTATAACTCAAATTCCGTTGATCGCAAAATCAATCTTGACTAATGATTACACCAAATTTCATTTAAATTGGATGAAAACTGTAGTCTCTTTTGCTTTCACAAACAAATTTTGACACGTTTTTCCTAAGTCAAGGGCAATTACTCAAAACATTATTGATTATTCGATTATTATTATAATGTGGGCATAAAAAAATGCAGAATAGTAGGACATGTTACTTGCATTTCATTCCATTTATCAGGTTTCCCAAAATTTGTAAATTGAAAGATATCAATTTGAGGGAATGATCAATAAATACAAGGTCATACTAACCTCAATAAATGCTCTCCTAAACTCACCACCAGGTGCCATTCCAAGTTCTTTAGTTAAATGTGCTGACATACTTAATAATAATAGATGCATTACACCTTGAACAACTCCACTCTAAAATGATAATGTTAAGAATAACTCAACATGAAGTTAAAAGTAATGCTGAGAAAAATAGAACAAAAAATTAGGTCTTTTGATAAGAGTGGTGGATCACATCCAAATATGCCCACTTTGGCATGGTGAAACCAGAAACTTTCTCACTTTATCTTTAATAATCTAAGTCATATTCATTTTATAAAAAATCAGATTGAAAACTAAAGAATTTTTAGAATACAAGATAACAGGGGGTAATATTGCAGGTAAATGATGCTCAAAATCTTCGTTCAAGGTTATGATACACATAGATCCATTAACTTTTATCAAAGTAATTTTCAATATTTGAGATTACAGGGGTTAATATCTCAGAGGTTAATGTTCGGAAAAACTCTGGATTTTAGAGCATTTACAGGGAAATGTGATGGATTGACAGGCAGAAAGACATGCATGAAGAATAAAGATGTTTTACATCCTTAATTATTTTAACTATTTTATATGCCAACTTTATCTTCAAACTAACTAACTAAGGTACCTAATTGGCCATATTCTATATATATTGTAGATTTAATTATTATTTTAGTTTATAATTACTCTATAAAACAAACCATATACAATATACATGTACCTGTTTTATGGCTAAACGTATTTTGTCCATGTTTATATTTTTAGCTTCTTCTAACAGAGTATTTTCATCTAACTCTAAAATATTCATTCTGCTTTTACATAATTCTAACATAACAACATCTGGTTGGGTGGCATTTATAACCTAAAAACAACAAAATAAATAAATAACACAAATAAAATCATGAGGACATTGAATAAAAATCAAAGATAGTAGGTCAAATCTGAATATGTCCAGCTACGCACGGGATTGTTGAAACAAGAAACTTTTCCTGCCATTGTAATAGCGTAATTGACTAAGTCTACATTGAATATTGAAGCTTATTGTTTGTAAAGTAAAGATAGTAGACCACAGCCATATACGCCCACCACGGCATGCAGATAGTAAAAACGAAACATCCATTTTAAGTTTCATCAAAATCGGTTGAAAATTAAGATAGCATATTCAAGATTTTGGGGCAAGGGCAATAACTCTGCTTCTAATGGTCGAAAATAGCTCAAATTCGAGCTTGATCATTGTTTTATGAATATGTATACACATACCGAATTTCATTTGATTCCATAAAAAAATCTAGTTTTTTGAGCGTTTACAAGCAAATGTTGACGAACGGATGGACAGAGTGTTTATGAGCAATTGATGCAGATAGAAGCACTTACTGTATAGAGTTTAAAGGGCGATAACTCCTGAAAACTGAGGCCCAAATCTTGAAAAAGCCTTAAATTTAATCAGAAGTAAACTTCACTTTCTCAAACCTTTCGATTTAGGTCCAATAACATCCATTTTAAGTTTCATCAAAATTGGTTGAAAACTAAGAGAGTAATAGCATTATTCAAGATTTTGGGACAAGGGCAATAACTCTGCCTCTAACGGTCGTAAATAGCTCAAATTCGAACTTGATCTTCGTCTTTACACGCCCACATGAAATGTGCGGCGTATATTGCTGTCACCCATGTCCGTCCGTCGGTCCGTCCACAATTGCTCGTAAACACTCTACAAGACACAATTCTTGATGGATTTTGACGAAACTCGTAATCACCCAAGGATGAACCATATTGAAAATCAGAAGAATCGAAAAATATTTTGACGAAACTTGGCATGAGTGTTTGTTATTACCCAAGGATAAACCCTATTGAAAATCAGAAAAATCGAAAAATATTTAGTATGAGTTATTGCCCTTGCTTTTGAAAACGCTTTCAATTTTTAGCCCATAATCACTCTAGAAGGCACAATTCTTGACGGATTATGTTGAAACTTCGTGTGAATGTTCGTAATCACCCAAGGATGAACCCTATTGAAAATCAGAAGAATTGAAAAATATTCAGTATGAGTTATTGCCCTTTTTCTTGAATACGCTTTCAAATTTAGCTCTTAAACACTAAAAGGCGTGATTCTTGCTGGATTTGGTCTTGGTTTTATTGTTCAGTCCCGCGCTGAAGATTAAATATTTGCCTTGTAGAGTTTTCACGAGCTAAAAATTGAACATGTTTTCAAGAACAAAGGCAATAACTCATACTCAATATTATTCAGTGTTATGCTAAAGAGTCAAAAGAAGTGTATGACTGAAGGTTGAATATTTCATACTTGTGATTGTTACTGTACTGCTAAATATTTTTATTCAAAATCAAAGCTGCTAGTGGGCGTATATTACCTTGCCTAGCAAGCTATTTTATGAATATGTATACACATACCCAATTTCATTTGATTCCATCAAAAAATCTAGTTTTTAGAGCGTTTAAAAGCAAATGTTGACAGACGGACAGGGGTGCCAACAATATACGTCCACATAGAGAGATGTGGGCGTATAAAAAAGCAATAAATTTAACAATATTTTAATAAAACTATCAAACATAAACTGAAAGATGCTGTTGGGGTACTAATTTGTTTCGGTTTAAGGCAATTCGTTTTGGACTTGTAGATCAAAATATGCTCAATAATAGTTATCACTCTAGAGATAGCTTGAAAGATTCATTACAAGTAATAAATTTTCTGGTCTATTAGTATCTATCATAGTAAATCTCTTTACTTCATGATATCGCCAACAGTTTTATTTGTTACCTTTGACACATCATTCTGACTATCTATACTAAAATGAGCAGTACCAACAACATAAACTTTACAGCCTTCTGGAGTTTCTAAACACACAGTGGTATCTGGTAATTCAGGATTAGGATCCCTTATTCTAACTGGTAATATTGGTTCTATGTTGTCTTCTATATCTGATTCTTCACCACTTTCATATTCTTCTTCCTCATATTCAAACTCATCATAATCTGACAATAATAGAATGTTAATAATATACTATGACTAGGTAACAAACTGAAGCTGATATCACGTTATATACTCTGGTAATTACTTTGTAAGAGAAAACTTGTACTTCGAAGTTTCAAAATAATTCTTTTGTGACTCTTCTATCCCTTGATCTTTTCTAATACACCTTGTAGAATATAAAATTATCATATAGGCTTACATACTTATCAATGATGCCAAACCTTCTGTGTTTTTTAAAGTAATGGTTTTACTTTTACATTGTTGACATTAGATTGATTTTACTTCAATCTATGTTCTTTTTTTTTTTAAATTATGATTTACCTTCCATATCACAGTACATCTATATTACAGCGATGCAAGTCAGGATGGTGATATAAATACTAGAAATATCAAGTTAAGCACAAGATTTACCCTATTTAAAGTCAGCTTATCATCAAAATTTGAGCCCTGGTAAAGCTAACTTATTCTTTCTAAAGCATTAAATAAGCACATGGTTTGTAGGCTGACATATTTCATTCTGATAAACAATATAGAGATAGAGGTTAGGTCACCTAAGTACAGGTCATGATGAGTAGCTAAAATTGGAGAGGGCATTATTGGTTGGTGTCTTTTAGAATGTGTAGCCTGAATGTCTGAATTGTATAATATCATTACACCCAAATAGCCATGAGTATCAAAAGTATCGATCTTTGAAATTTAAAAAAGTGACTTGTCTTTACAAGATTTATATTTGGAAATATTCATTGATGATGTCACATCTGGTCCAACTTTGTCCGAGCACGGCTGCGACGAAAGATGTCTGGATGTCAGAGGCTATATCAACAAGAAATATCAGAAGAAATAAAGGTAATAAATAAAATGTGAAATTTCTTGTTTGAGGTCTATTTGAAGGAATCATGCTATTTTCGTACAGTTCTAGCGTCTGTCCTTCTGAAGACTATTTACATATATTCTCAAAGCCCAAATCAACAGTTACAGAGCAGTTCTATCAAATCCAAATATTTACCATCTATATCTGGTTCTGTTTGAATATTATCTGGATTCAAAACTACTCCTGAGTTATGAGGTTGATTCTGATCCTGATCATCTTTAGTAAATGCTGTTCTTGTAGATCTACCTGCATTATTTTCATTCTCTTGATCTTCCTTTAAAACTCTCTTTCTTACAGAACCTAAATGAAAGTAAAAAAGCCATTACACAAGTGTTGCTTTTAAGTTGTGTGGTTTCAATGAAGTTGCCAATTATATTAATGTCCCTACACATTATGTAAAAATTGTGTTTCATAGAAAAGGTTGGTTGGCTGATCGAAAATGATAAATATGGCATGTACTAGTACGTGGCATATATAGTAGGCCATACGCATTTAAACGATAGTCACACAAACCCATGAAATGGACACACTTTAACTGCAATAATAGAGAGCTCATCAGTGAAATAACTGAGTAAGATTAATGAACAATTCTGGTTAAAAATGAAACTATAGAATCATATTGATAAGACACGATTTGTTAGAGAAATGAGAAACAAAAAATAGTTCATGCCCGTAGCTATGGGGAGGCAGACCTAGCATAATTTCGTTATTAACAAGCCTTTAATAAGGGATAGACAAAATAATTTTAGAAATAGTGCCTGATATTTCAAATTTAGGGGCCCAAAGAAATCTAATATTGACATTTTTAGTAGCCTATTGATTGAATCAAAAATAATGTCAAGTTGAAATGATGTTTGAAAAAAAGAGAGCAAGCATGATCCCAGCCCTCAAAATTAAATGGTACCGGTTACTTTTTCCAAAGGTGGAATTCGTGACATCTAAAACATATCCAGTCTGATCATAAAATAACTTTCCTGCAACACCCTGATGAAGTATTGAACCAAAATTGACGCTTCCATTTTGACACTCTTCAGATATGGAAAGACTTGTAATAAGTAAACCCGTTATGCAGGCAATAAATGAATGTTTACAGGCCACAGTAGACTTACAAAACCATTTTATGAAACGAAGTTGGAGTTTACATAAGAATTAGATATCCAGTCGCACATGATAATCTACCGACAATAAAAAAGAGAATTCGGAAACGACGTCTACGTTAAATAGACCTATAAAGACCTCACAGATTGAAAGTATAAAATATGAAGACTTCAAGATTTTGTTTTTTTAGTAAAAGTAGGGCTACCGTGAAATTTATCATAAAAGCGAAGTAGAATCTACCGGATGTTTTTATAAAAAGTGTGTCAATTGGGCTTAAAATACACATTATCGGGTGAAAAGAGATCAAATTACCATCTTAATTGGGCAATTAATTAATCAGACAATGATAATATTATTACGTGATGAGATCAACGCGTGTTACCGGCAATCAAGATACAAGTAATGATAGATATTTTGTTGATTTATGGTAGATAATTTGGACTTTGAAAACGGTAGGTCCCGTTAAAATTTGGTCAGGAAAAAAACAAAAAAATCTGTAGAATCTAATTGGGTATCCCGTCGGTAGAGCGGTGGACAACATGCAAAAGCGGTGGAAACCCGATAACATCGGTAGATAACACATGTATGATTATAGACCTAAAAAACATATAGTTTCCAAAGCAATCAAAGCAATTGCAGTATGCATATTCAAGTATTTTCTCTACTTGATTGTCTAGATTGTTCAAAAACCAAAATATAAACTTCCAAATGGATTTTGACTTGTCAAGTCAAGTAAGATGTTTCATTATTTTACTCTACACTTTGAGTTTGACATTTCTAGAGTGAAATTATGTACAGGTACTTGATTTATATACTACGCATGCAAGAGTATTAAATTCTTGTTTATTAGACCTAATGGTGGACCTCAAATCACTAGGTTGAAGGTTTAAAGGCTAGCAGTTCCAAAAGCCAGGGGATAAGGTCTCGTGCCACACTCGGAACTATCAACAGTTCCAGTGAATATTTTACTTTCACTTTCCTTGTATCTAAGGTGTGTCACGAATTTAATTCAACAATTACCATTTTTGAAGAATAAAGCAGTTTAGTGTTGCTCCCCCATTGCCCCTCCGAATATTACCCCCAACCCCATCCCCTACGGAGGTACGTGCCTGGAATAGTTTCAAAATTTTCAAGATATTGGTTAATTTCGTTCATGAAGACGAGCATTTCGGATTATCATTTCCAGCTGTATTCGATTGTCGATGACGATAGTCGACTGTTTCTAATGTCATGTAAAATTTGTGGAAGTCTGGTTCACAGGGCACTGTTATAACACTACCACAAGCAATTTTACAGTGTTTGAGCACCTAAAAAGTAAATTATTGAATATTTTTTTACCTTCATCTGTTGATTCTTCCATTTCTCCAAATACTTCCTGTGTACATAAACTACACGAAAAACAATGACGTAAAACACATAACTGACAATAAAAGTGCGAAAATACCACCAAATTACAGCTGCGTAAAACGGTCGATACTAAAGCGATAGCAGGATATTATGGTAAAATGGAATGACAAATATAGTAAACCGCAATTATTATTTTATATGTTGAGAGGTATTAATAATCAAATTTATTTTTAATTTGGTCAGAATCAAGTGCCTAAAGGATATAAAATGATCTAGAAATATTAAAACAGAACCTAACCCCCCCTCCCCCATAAAAAAAAACATGTTGTTACTCAGAGTTTTACGCTATTCGCTTGTTGATGCGGAACAAAATATTATCCATGAGAAATACGTTTTTAAAACACAAATGGTTTCTGTCACTGAATTAGGGACAAAAAGTCGATTAAAATCAAATACCAAGATTTAACTGAATTAACCAGTAAAGTATGGGCCCGGGTTTTTTCAAAACTAATTTTTAACAGAAAATAATCTTATTATTTTAATTCATAACACATAAATAAATGTAGAGTTTTAATACTGTTACTCCAGATAAGTTTTTGTAGATTCTATGGTGGCTGGAATGGCTGTCAGCCCGAAAAATAAACAAAACATGAAGATGGATTTCCAATTAGTCTAGAAATCATTATATTTTTATGTACCTGCTGTAATGCCCAGAACTTTGTTTGAATTTTAAATAAGCTGATTCACCTCAGTTCCTGAAACGTCGTGAGAAAACTAGGCCTAAAAATATCAGACAGAATCTTAATGTAAACTAAACTAGGTCCAACGACATTCAAAAGTGTTTTTTCCTTTTAACTTTAGATCTTTATCCTAATACGAAACTAGGCCTACGTATATTGTTCTACAGGGAAATAATAACACACACGAACGTAGTTCACAACCATTTTAAATCACTACGTCCAGACCTTTAACGAGTCGAATTTTTGAAAAGGCTTTGATATTTCAAACAAAGCCTCTTTTAACGATCATGTGATTATCAAGAATAAATCCGAAGGATTTAGCACTTAATTACGCGTATCATGGAAGCCCCAAATTTTATATTC